TTTTTATGAAGGTTTTTTGGGGCATTTTTCGCCAAAAAATGGATTTTTGGATCCTGAGCCCTGGTTTTACAACCAAATGATCTGAAATTCGGTATAAGGGTACCTTGAACATGTGTCTACAGAATAGCAGTCACATATTTGGCATACACCACTTCCAAATGACTCATTTGGGGGACTTTAATGGCTATTTTCAGCAAAAAAAGGGCCAAAAGTGCTATACCCGTTCCATGTTCTATCTAAAGAATGGCCGGTTCCATCCATGGAACACGTGTTCCATTGGGGGTTACCTGAGGTCACATTGCACCTAAGTGGTGCGTAATGACCCACACATTCAATTTTATGTGCCTAAGACCTTCAAAATGTATCAAATCTCATCATTGTTAGTTTTTGCATACCTGTAATAAGATTAGTAAAGCTTTCGAGATTCAAAGTACTTGTTGTTGCATCTTTGTTCTCATATAGCTACTATTTAATACATTTATTTGAGAACCTTTGCCAGTTTTGCACTTTGTAGGTTTGGAATAGTCCACTTTTGCGTGGGAGGGAGATGGACTGAAATATGCTGTATTTGCTCCCAAGCAAATGTCGGCCTTTCTAGTGTTTTCTTCAGTTTCCTTTTCTCCAAACACAAAAGGTCAATGACCTGGGCCAGACAGTCTATCGCCATGGTAACTAGTGTTGGGTTATTTCATGTTGCAATTTTATAGCGAAAGGGGTTTAGACAGCTGTCACCATATATACATAAATGTGTTTAAATAAGAATTAACAGAGCAAATTATGCGAAGGTAAACATTACATTATGCTTTGCTTTGCAAATGTTACCTTTCTAGTCAGCTTTTATCTTCCTTTCATTTATTATTTGATATTAGACCAGCAAATGACGCATTTTACGTTTTTTTCTGGTGATCTGATTGAAGCGTAAAAGGTTTCCATTATGAGGAAAATATAACGTGCCACCCGACGTCAAATGTACTACATAGGTAATCAGGCAAACCACTTCACCTTTGACCCAAAGGATATTCAGCTCTGACCTCGCAATACGACAGAAGGACAAAGCTGCCCGAGTTCCGGTTTACGTGAAGAGAAAAACCGTCATAGGAAGCAGGTAAGGCTTAGAAACGAACAGAAAAGTATTCTAATGTTGAGGGGCATAGTTTAAGACTATTTCTGTGGAAAAAGAACCGCAGTAGGATGATAGTTTGTAGGCATTTTTGGGATATGAATATCGTTGAATTAAATGGGGAGGGAGGGGGGCGAAACCGAACATACGTTGGACCCTCGCCACTTACATGTACGTCATGCTGCATCAGGCAAAGTGGCCTTTTTAGAGTACGTGAGATTATATGAAATGTTAATTGTATTGTAAAGAATCGCACAAGGCGTACATTACAAAATCTAGAAACGCGTAGAACTGATTTCTAAAAACAGTAAATAGAGAAACCTGGTGAGCAAACCTATAGGCTATACTGCCCACTCTCTTTCCAGCCTAGCGAATGGGGTCATTTTACCCATTGTTCGTAGTCGTAGAAGTAATAACTAATATGATATAAATGTTTTAAGAGATTGGTGGTGTGAGTGATTGATTGTAAGATCTCACAAATTATGACTTTGGAACAACATAGAAGCAAATTTATTCAAATGCGAGAAAGACAACACGTTAGAATATTTATGTTGGGTTACGTTGTAATGCATTAGGTTAAAATTTAAAGCTTGGTGAAGTTAGAATTCTTTGAAGCTTGTTTTCTGTAAATTCTATCTTATCATTGACAGCTTATAATGCTTAACCCTAAACAGTACACCTGGGGTCCGCGCGGACCCCAGCACTGTATATTCTGTAATATCTTTTTGGTTTCTAAAGATTTTTTTCTGAAATTTTAGGTAATTGTCACCCACAAAGTTGTCTCTCAATACAGTGCAGAAAACTCCGTTTCTACCATTTATAAAAAAAATTATATCTGATTTTCTTTTGGGGTCCGCGCGGACCCCAGCCGGCTTTCGATCATAATGGATACACTGGCGTTCTTATACATTACCTTATTTCCGTTTTTATATGTTTTTATGCACTCATCGTATGTCTACCAAGTTTTCAGAGAATGGTGTAGTAATAGAATTAAATTTTAATAACTTTGGTGTAATTATGACGTCATATGACGTGAGAGCTAATAATATAGTCCGCCATATTGGATTTTGACCAATGACGTCATCAAATTAGCATATTCTATGCATATTAAATGATTTAACTTATATTTAATTATGTAAGATGTTATTAACGCTGGAAAAGAAGTGTAATTTAATATAAAACTCAGAAAATTTTTATGTTTAAACCAAAATTACTTCTATTTTCAAAAAAACTGACCTGCTAGAAACCCGTTGCCATGGCAACACAAAAAAACATCAACTTACTAGTATTAAACTAATATGAACTTTTTTCCAGAGACATTTTAGGAATGGTCTCCAAATTTGATACTTCTAGCGTAAGCCGTTTAGCCGCTATCTGAGATCAAAGTTGGGCCTCAAAAGCCCCTTCAGTCTGAAATGGGTTTAAAAATCGGGTATTTCTTCTTGTCTTCTTTTCTTCACCAAAAAATAGAAAAAGTTCAAAATGTATGGTTTTTGTATGTAATGTGGACACAGAGGTTCCCACATCAGTTTGCAAAACAATTGAGCTGGTAGCATGTTGATAATTTCTAAAAATTAGCAAAAAACTGTTCTGGGGTCCGCGCCAGGTGTACAGATTAATCAGTCCGGGAAGGTGTACTGTTGAGGGTTAATCTGTACAATTTCTTCATTTTCTTTGTTAGGCTGAACATGGCAATGGCAGGACACGGGTCTCCCACCGGAGTTGGTCAGCACTGCTGTAATGGGTCTCCCACCGGGGTTTCCCAGGTCAACTGTGACAGGAAAAAAGGCGATGTTCAAGGCCAGGTGGCAGCACACGTCAACTTGAATAACGCTGGTGAGAAACCCTACATGTGTGGGGAGTGTGGGTACAGTGCGACTTACAAGTCTACATTATCTAAACATATGAGAACCCATACAGGAGAAAAACCCTACAAGTGTGACCAGTGTGACTATTCTGCAGCACAGAAATCCACTTTGGACCAACATCTGGCAATGCATGCTGGTGAGAAACCCTACATGTGTGGGGAGTGTGGGTATAGGGCAACTCAAAAGTCAAACTTATCCAGACATATGAGAACTCATACAGGAGAAAAGCCCTACAAGTGTGACCAGTGTGACTATTCTGCAGCACGGAAATCAGACTTGGACAATCATAAAGTAAAACACACCGGTGACAAACCCTACATGTGTGGGGAGTGTGGGTACAGGACAGCTGTGAGGTCCCGCTTATCCCAACATATGAGAACCCATACAGGAGAAAAACCCTACAAGTGTGAACAGTGTGACTTTTCTGCAGCACATAAATCTCATTTAGACTATCATCTCACAAAACACACGGGTGAGAAACCCTACATGTGTGGGGAGTGTGGGTACAGGACAGCTAAAAAGTCCCACTTATCCCGACATATGAGAACCCATACAGGAGAAAAACCCTAGAAGTGTGACCAGTGTGGCTATTCTGCAGCACAGAACGCTAATTTGGAAACACATCTAGAAATGCATGCTAGTGAGAAACCCTGCATGTGTGGGGAGTGTGGGTACAGGGCGGCTTACAAGTCTGCCTTATTCCGACATATGAGAGCCCATACGGTAGAAAAAACCTTCGAGTGTGACCAGTGTAGCTTCTCTGCAGCCTCTAAGTCTGCCCTAACTCAACATGTAAGAGTTCACACAGAAGCACTAACTCTGCAACTGTGACCATCTCGTAGTGACATTTTGTGTGCACAATCTTTTCTTAACTATGTACAGTTTCTCTCCATTCATATCATGATTAAGTATATAATGCAATAGTGCTCAATATCTTCTTTAAAAAATAGGCGAAATATTTTGTAAAAATTACCAAAATTGGCAAAATTGAAAAACCTTCTCCCTATGAAACGTCATTGTCATGTACTTTCAACTGCATCCACTGCTTTCTGATTACCCAACAAAGGTTCGGTTACAAGAATATTTCTTAGAAGCCTAATGCACACTTTGTTCTTTAATAGTAGGTATCAATTATTTAGAACAGAAATCATATTTTTAGTTACTAGTATTTAGAACTGAAGTAGAAGAACATTAAAGTTGAAAGTATTTATTGGATAATGTACATATACATATAATCAGTACTTAACATAGGTAAGTGATTGTAGACAATAGTTGAAATGTAGTCGTTGAAATAGTATGAATGGAGGTTCCAATTGTTGTTAAAAGTTTCTTTGATGAAACGCGTGCCTATATGTACAACAAATATATTTGACTAAAATGTCAACTATGTAAACTAGCATTTGGTTCGCTTCAGTTTCCAACATTAGTAATTTTACAATAGTAAAATCGTAGGCGTTATGTTGTATACGAGACTTTACGAGTAAAAGTTCGTTTTTTTTTGTATTTTTTTTCCGAAGATGTATCTACATATATTTTCCACTGAAATAATTAAATCGTTATGTACCTTGAACATAATGTTTCCTTGTTCCTGTGTTGCTTCCTTCCCTTGGAATGTTGTCAGAGGTGCTGAGTTGATCTTAAAACACAGAAATCAAGATTTAGACCAAACAGTTTGGCTTTACATTAATTTCTTTACTAATTTTGTCCCTTTTGGTGTTTAGCTGGTCTGTTTGAAGTGTAAAACGCTGACATTATCAACGTAACCTGTCACCCGATGTCAAATGTGCTACATGGGTAATCAGGTGTACAATTTCACCTTTGACCCAGATGGCGTTCTACTCTGACCTCATGAAACAACGGTTGTCAGAAGTGTTGTTAGACGTGTGTTACGTTATTTAATGGTCTGTTTTATACGAAGAACGTTGACATTATGAGGAAAGCGTAACGTTCAAACCGACGTCAGATGCACTACATAGGTAATCAGGCACTCAACTTCACCTTTGACCCAAAGGGCATTCACTTCTGACCTCGCGAGACGACGAAAGGACAAAGCTGTCCGAGTTCCGGTTTACGTGAAGAGAAAAACCATCATAGGAAGCAGGTAAGGCTTAGAAACGGACAGAAAAGTATTCTGATGTTGAGGGGAATAGTTTGACGCCATTTTTGTGGAAGAGGAACCGCAGTAGGATGATAATTTGTAGGCATTTTCGGGATGTGAATATCGTTGAATTAAAGGGGGAGGGGGGCGAAACCTAACATACGTTCGACCCTCGCCACTTACATGTACGTCAAGTTGCATCAGGCAAAGTGGCCTTTTTAGAGTACGTGAAATTATATAGAAATGTTAATTGTTTTGTTAAGAATCGCACAAGGCGTACATTACAAAATCAAGAAACGCGTAGAACTGATTTTAGTAAAAGCAGTAAATAGAGAAGCCTGGTGACCAAACCTATAGGCTATACTTCCGACTCTCTTTCCAGCCTAGCGAATGGAGTCAGTTGTCCCCATTGTTCGTAGTCGTAGAAGTAATAAATAATATGATATAAAATGTTTTAAGAGATTGGTGGTGTGATTAAGAGATTATAAGATATCACAAATTATGATTTTGGAACAACATAGAAGCAAATTTATTCAAATGCGAGAAAGACAACACGTCAGAATTATGTTGGGTTACGTTGTAATGCATTAGGTTAAAATTGTAAACCTTAGTGAAGTTAGAATTCTTTGAAGCTTGTTTTCTATAAATTCTATTTTATCATTGACAGCTTATAACGCTTAATCTGTATAATTTCTTCATTTTTTTTCGTTAGGCTGAACATGGCAATGGCAGGACATGGGTCTCCCACCGGAGTTGGTCAGAACTGCTGTGATGGGTCTCCCACCGGGGTTTCCCAGGTCGACTGTGACAGCAGAACAAGCAATGTTCAAGGCCAGGTGGCAGCACAAGTCAACTTGAATAACGCTGGTGAGAACCCCTACATGTGTGGGAAGTGTGGGTACAGGGCGGCTTACAAGTCTGACTTATCCCGACACATGAGAACCCATACAGGAACAAAACCCTACAAGTGTGACCAGTGTGACTATTCTGCAGCACGGAAATCCACCTTAAATGACCATAAAGCAACATACACTGGCGAGAAACCCTACATGTGTGGGGAGTGTGGGTACAGGACAACTAGACATTCTGACTTATCCAAACATATGAGAGCCCATACAGGAGAAAAGCCCTACAAGTGTGAACAGTGTGACTATTCTACAGCATGGAAATATGCTTTGGACCAACATCTAACAATGCATGCTGGTGAGAAACCCTACATGTGTGGGGAATGTGGGTACAGGACAGCTGTGAGGTCCCGCTTATCCCAACATATGAGAACCCATACAGGAGAAAAGCCCTACAAGTGTGACCAGTTTGACTATTCTAAAGCATGGAAATATGCCTTGGACCAACATCTAACAATGCATGCTGGTGAGAAACCCTACATGTGTGAGGAGTGTGGGTACAGAACAGCTGACAGGTCCAACTTATCCAAGCATATAAGAACCCATACAGGAGAAAAAACCTACAAGTGTGACCAGTGTGACTATTCTGCTGCACAGAAATCTGATTTGGATAAACATCTAGCAAAACACACCGGTGAGAAACCCTACATGTGTGGAGAGTGTGGGTACAGGGCAACTCAAAAGGCTCACTTATCCCGACATATGAGAACCCATACAGGCGGAAAACCCTACAAGTGTGACCAGTGTGACTATTCTGCAGCACGGAAATCCCATTTAGAGGAACATGTAGCAAAACACACCGGTGAGAAACCCTACATATGTGGGGAGTGTGGGTACAGGACAGCTGTGAGGTCGAACTTATCCAAGCATATGAGAACCCATACAGGAGAAAAACCCTACATGTGTGGGGAGTGTGGATACAGGACAGCTAGAAATTCTGACTTATCCAAACATATGAGAACCCATACAGGAGAAAAACCCTACAAGTGTGACCAGTGTGACTATTCTGCTGCACAGAAATCTGCTTTGGACAAACACCTAGCAAAACACACTGGTGAGAAACCCTACATGTGTGGGGAGTGTGGATACAGGACAGCTCAAAAGTCTAACTTATCCCAACATATGAGAACCCATATAACAGAAAAACCCTACAAGTGTGACCAGTGTAGCTATTCTGCAGCCTCTAATGCTCTCCTATCTCGACATATGAAAATCCACACAGAGGCACCAAGTCTGCAACTGTGACCATCTCGTAGTGACATTTAGGACGCACAGTCTGCTGTTAACTACAGTTTCGCTACTTAGTATCTTGATACGAATCTTAAGGGTATATGACAGTTATGTTCATAAACATTTAGGCTGAATATTCTGTAAGAATTCATGTTTGCAAGTAGGCAAAGGTTTTTCCCAAGAAAAAGCCCTATACTTGTACACTTTAATATCTAATTAAGTTATGGCTATTATTTAGGTACAAGAATAAGTCTTAGTTTCGCTTAGTAGCCCATTTACTTTGTTGTAATATCAGATATCAAAATCTATTTTAGCTATCTAGAATTGCGTGAGAATAGTAAATGTTATAGTATTGATTGGATAATGTACATATACATAATCAGTCATTAACATCGGTAAGTGATTGTACACAGTAGTTGAAGCTGAAAGGTACAGACATTAGTGCTGTGTTTGTACACAGTAGTTGGAATGTAGACGTGAGTGTTGTGTGTGTACGAGCTTAGATTTCCTGTTTATCTACTAGTAGTTCCTGTCACGAAGTGTTTGCCTATATGTCCTACAAACACAATTATATCTTGTAACTATCAACTCTTTAAACTACTAGGATTTGTTAGGAGAAACCCAAAAGCTAATGGTATTGATTTGTGTCAGTGTAAAATGACTGATGTGCTTCAGTTTCCAAAGTAGGAAGTAATTTTACGCCATTGAAAAGGTAGACGATAGGTTGTATACAAGTAAATTTCCTTTTTTTTTCGAAGATGTATCTAGATCTAGATATTTTCCACTGACATAATTGAATCGTGTAATACCTTGAACATAATGTTTCCTTCTGTGTTGCTTTTTTTTCCTTGGGTGGAATATTGTCAGAGGTGGTCAGCTGATCATAAAACACAGAAATCAAGATTCAGACCAAACAGTTTGGCTTGGCATTCATTCCCTTAAATCATCTTTTTTAAAGTAGATCAGAAACACTCGTCAGACGCTTGTTACGTTGTAAGGTGGTCGGTTTTAAACAAGGAACGTTGACATTATGAGGAAAGCGTAACGTGCTACCTGACGTCAAATGCACTGCTTGGGTAATCAGGCACACAACTTTACCTTTGACCCATTTGCGTTCACCTCTGACCTCGTGAGACGACAGAAGGACAAAGCTGCCCGAGTTCCGATTTACGTGAAGAGAAAAACCGTCATAGGAAGCAGGTAAGGCTTAGAAACGGGCAGAAAAATATTCTAATGTTGCTTGTAATAGTTTAAGACCATGCCTGGAGGGCAAAGGCCACCGAATGGCGCATGCCCAGACGGCCCAGTCTGAGAGTTTGATTGAGTGCAGCCAAACCAAGTAAAAACATCCTTTTTCTTGGTATGTGTGGATAATGCTGGCATTTTCCAGAGGGAGAGTTATTTATATTAAGTTGAAAAAAACTGGCTGTTCGTGTTGTTTTGGCTGCTTGGTAGAGTTTTAAAACTAATCCCATCTTCTTGTCTATTGGTGGTCTTCAAGGGGGTCAGAGGTCATGCTGCCAGTGTTTGCATTTGCCGTGCTATGTATCGCTGGTGAAAAAGGGAAATTTTTGGACTAGATGAACAATTTGGAAGTTGGACTACCCTGTCAATGTGTGTTTGCAATAGTTCAACACTCAAGTAGGTGATTGTTGATAGCTCAGTTCTTAGATGATTCTATATATTCCAATAGGGGCTGGATTCAGTGGGCTGTCCCCTGAATGGTCGCCCTCAAGCCAAAAACACTGTCATCGGAGCAGTAATGGCATGTATCACACCAGCGAGGGACATCGAGGAGGCCAAGAAACGCCCTCGCTCCGTCCGAGATGAATACTGCTTGTTTGTATACAGCGGTACGTAAATTAGATACAAATGTATTTTCAATATGCATTTCTTAATCCATACTGTTCAAAGTTCCTATTTGCAGGTCCAGAGACTGGTTTTGACAAATCTCATTCATTTGATATATCAACTTACAACTATTAATGTCAAGGTCCATCCATCGCTATCAAGAATCTTCGTCACATTTTCATATAAATATCTAATAATGAAGTAAGTTTAAACTGTAATTTCCAACACAACAAAAATTGGACTCACTCAAATTTTCGACTGTACAACTCCAGTCTTTTTCAAGGAATGAGCAATCCACCGCTTCCGTGACGTCACGCAGATAACACACACGACGGTCAGATTTGGGCCCAAAAGTCCCACTCCGCTACTATGGAGATCGAATCCCCCGAACCCGCGAATCATGTTCGATATGACGTCATTCGAATAGAACGGGCGTTCGATCTGGGGTTACCCGCGGTCATTTACAGTAAAGCCGCTACAACCGGCTACTTCAAGCCCTTTTTTACTTGGGAACCAAGGAACAGAAAAAATCCCCCTTTCCACAAATATGAACCGTTTTCAAAATATTACATCTATGCCGTGATTTTATTGTGGATATGTAACATGTAACGAAGCTACTGCCGTCATCGTGGGTGACCTTGAAGGTCAGAATTCTTGTTGACGCTGTTATAAAATCCAGGTCCCCATATCCAAGTGGCACAGCATGCGTGCAAACATGGTATTTTAACCATTCCCAAAAATCGCTCAAATTACCTCATTGAGGTCTTGTTTGGAAGAGGAACGATTTCCGCAGATTTCTGTCTTAGGGATTTTTTGAATATGGCCGCGATTATGAATTATCGGTATTTAAAGTTAAAACACTGCGTTTTTAGCTCTTCTTTTGACTGTAAGTCGAGTTTTAGTTAAAAAATAAAAAAATCCTAAGACAGAAAGTTTAAATTTACTGTAATATTTCTAAAAATCCAAAAATCTAACCTTATTTTTAATTTTCGGGGCCTCTTAAAATCAGTTGTTTGGTTCTCGTGAACCCTTTTTGAAATCCGAAATTGATCTCATTTGGAAGCAAATGTACACAAAGTGGAGCAAAGGCAGTGCAAGAATAACATTTGAGGTAAACAAAATCACTTATTACATTTTATTTTGACGAGTATTTACTCTCCAATTACTTTTGTTTATTTTCAAATTTTACCCGTTGCCCCCGGCCGGCCTGGGACTCCCGCGCGGCCACGTTCGAACACGTTCTGTAACCCGATACCTCCCTAGTAATGCGACTTTTAGCCCAGCAACCGACCGCCGTGACACGTGACTCCGTGAGCAGTGGATCATTCTATCTGAAGAAGGAGGCCACAAGACAGGACCCGAGTACCTACAAATGGAAGACGTTGTCAGGTCTGACACTGCTTTACGTGTAGATGGTTAGCGGGCGCAAGCTTTAATGTGATACAATTATTTGCTGAAAAATGCATAATTTGGGGTGGGATTAGCATGCCTGACGTGAATCTTACATCACAATATTTCAGATGATAGTGATATAGTTGTAATAACTCCAATTCGTTTTTACCCATGCAGCAAAAGAGCTCAAGAAAGCTATCAAGCTGCTGCCTGACAAAATGCGATCATCAGAAACGTTGGAAGTGCTAGTGAGAAAAAAATTGACAGCTTGTCCGGGCCCCAACTGACATCCACCCTCCAGAGCAAAGGAGAAAGAGTCCCAAGACTCATCTCAGAGAGGAAAGCCCTCCTCAAGAACATCCTGGGAAGTGAAATGGTAAGCTGTTTCAAATCATAATTTTAAAATGCATTTAACTAAGGTGTAATGATTTAAAAAATGATCACATTTTCACATTATTACCCTACATTTGCACATTCTCCTACTGCGTAGGTCACACTGCCAGGGAGGGAGCCAGATGAGGGTGTGGAAATCAGGGTTGAGCATGTACAAGAGCTTTGGCGGGTAAGTTGTAAAAATGATATTTGGTAATTTCTTTAAAAAACACAGATTTCAGAAAGGACAATCAAGTGCAATGTTTTATTAATTAAGGGTTAATGACCCGCCCCGAGGTGAATATGGTGTGATAAAGCCTTGGCAGTTGCTATAACCACCGAATAAAGCCATCGAGTGAGCGACAGCGAGCGAGGTGGCTTTATGAGACGGTAAACATTTCTATTCAACAAGGAAACGTGCTACAAATGTCAGCAAAAATAGTCAACCCCCCTGCAAATGGTTTGCTCCGGGCCGTGCTTTATTGTGCAACAAAGCACACTTGTGAGAATAAAACACACCTGGCAATGCTTGTATCATGCTAACTGTGACATTATGGCGTCATAATCAATATGGAATGGGGGCTTCTGATTGGTCAACGCCACCTGGCCATATGATAATGTTGTGTATTGTCATCCGTGCAGGAATTCGATAGAGTAATGAAGATGCCACGGGATCCTGAACGACACGTCAGCTGCAAGACTGCAGCCAGAAAGTGGGCTGAAAACTTCCGTGACACCATCTACATCGAAGATTGTACCCCCTACATACACTGCAAGTTAACAATATACTATATATCTTTAAATGATGAGAAAAACATGCAATGCAAATAATGTGTTAGTCCTATACTTAATATGTGCCTGAAACACAGTAATAGTTTTGGTATTAGGATAAAAAAACAGCATTGGTTGACTAATTAAGTGGTACAATATAAAGGAAAGAAGAGTACTGTACTTGTTCTACTTAAATTTGCTAATTTCTTTGTGTTGCAAAACTATTTAATCAAACAACGTTAGAAGTTATGAAATGATATCTTGTTTACAGACTTTGGCTGCCATGCTGGTGACCAGCTGCAGGCCCATCCCTTCCTGCATTATGTGAATTGTGAAACTATTGAAAAGAAAAATCACGTTCAGACCAGAAGATACCACTTAGCCACGCAGAAGGGAGGAGGGCGCAACCCCAGCAAGAGGGCAGAGCAGGTAATTTCACATGTATCTACAGGATTAGTTCAGTCAAGTTCAGTGGAGTAACAAGCCTGAGTAAGCCTGGTACAATAATCTGAGCCAAAATTATTTGATACCTGCTGAATATTACTTTTCTTAAGATTTGATGTTGGCAGTATGCAGACAAAGTTTACATTTCAGTATTACAAGCTAATATTATCTGTTTCTACTCCAACTATTTTTAGCTGATGCAAATGGAGAACCGTGAGACCTTCGCTGCTGTCCACGGGATTGGGCAAAGGGAGAAAAGAAAAGAAAAGAGAACGCGGCCTGAAGATCCAGGGTATGGGTGGGGGGGGGGGTTCGGCGATCCGAGAGCGAGCCTGAAGAGTTGGCGGGGGTGAGGGATACAGATGACGACGACGATGCTGATGATAGAATAGTGTCCGATGGTGATCAGGACGACTAGACTACATCATCCCAACCATCCAGTGTCCCCTCCTTCTTTTGAAGGAGAAGTGAAGTCTGTATCTAGAATTCTAGAATCTAGAATTTGTGCGCCCTGCCCCTGTTCCATATTTCAGCATAGGCCCTCGGTACACTTGCGCTCTTCTCACTCGTCTTCGTCTCGGCACTTATAATTTAAACTCAAATTTGTACACACGTTGTCTGACAACCAGTCCTGCATGTACCTGTGGCCATCCCATTGAAAGTATCCAGCATTATTTTTTGTACTGCCCTAAATATACACAATATCGTGCCTCCCTTTTTAGCAATTTAGCTAAGTTGGTAGGATTTGACATAAACCTCAATGATCTCTCTGATGATGTTTTACTTCATTTATTCCTTAGAGGTTCTGTATCACTATCATATCCAAATAACTTAAAATTTTTACTTTATGTTCAATCATTTATAAAGGAAACTAAAAGATTTGAGTAATTCTTTCCTATCAATTTTGTAAGTTTTGCCTGGAGTACTTTACACTTTGTAACTTTATTTATTCCATTCTGTTATTATTAAGCTTTGCATGTCTGTTTTTGTATTTGCTTTTGTATTTTTGTAAAGTCAGATCGCTACATGAACATAAGCTTCGGCTTGAGTGTGTCGTCATCCTGTCCACTTTGCTTCTAAATGTTTTAATAAAGAAAAAAAAAATCCGCCGTTAAAAACCCTTCTTATCTAAAAAGGCAAACATCACAAGTGGTAGCAGGGGTTACCTAGCCACGGAGCAAAAACAGAACCTCCTTCGTGTGAAGAAAAACAGCCATTTCAGCAAGAAGTTAACCATGAACCTGACATTTGCCACGCTTAACACAAGTAGAGTTAAACTGCACATAGGCACCTCTACATACATAGCAGATATGGGGACAATGCTGTTCACATACTGTTAGTCAAGGACACACTAGCTCAAGCCTAAAGTGTGCAAAGAGTTACCACCTACCTTGCGTTCAGTGTCGTCTCTGCTGTTCAGCTAAAGGCGTGAGGAGAGAGTGGTATCTGGGGCGGCAGACTGGTCTCTTAAACACCCAAACAACCTGTCATACCGGTATGATTCAGATTCAGATTCAGATTGGCTTTATTGATGTCGCAGTGGAGTACACTGAATTAAGATCAATATTACATAAAAGTACAATATAATGGTTGGCGATATAGGGTTAAAAGGTAGTGCAATAACACAATACAGTACATGATTAAAATATAGTACAATAATCAATAAAAGAGTAGCGTCATGTATACAAAGAATTGGTCGTGACAGTAAGAGAATATTCGCTCATTGACAATGCATTAAAAATAACTTACGGATTAAAAGTCATGCTGGTTCAACAATCGAGTCAGGTAGGGTATTGGTGAGTTTCTGTATCTCTGTGTTTTAGCCTTTGGAATATCAAGTTTTTGACCATTTCTGGTACTTCTGCCTGTGATACTAGATCTGCGACTCGGCAACCAATGCTCGAACTCAGACTTGATAAGTGATCTGGCAAAGTTCAGGCACAGAGTCTCACGCCTTTCGGCAAGCGTTGTGAGTTATCTCAACCGGCTCGACCAATCAGGGAGTCAGACGGCAAGGTTAACTTAATGTATACAGACATGACAAATATGGGCTTTCGTGACGATACCAAGGTGATCCCCTAAGGGGAGGGGGAGTGGCTGCCGCACCTGTGGTTTTAAACGCCTTTCGTCTCACTAAGATTCTACATGAATGCTGCAACTCTCACTGTTTGAAATTAAAAAAAAATTAAAATCAGAAGTAGATGTAGTCCCGTAGCCCTTTAAATGCTGTAGAAATTGCTAGTTCTATAATAATGTCTAGGACATCAGCATGAAAGTTCATCTGAGTTGGTAAATTACATCATGAAAAACTTAATATACCGATACCGAACAGGATTAATTCAAGAGAGGCATAAAAGAGGCCATATACATCAGGGCACTTCAACCATCGCTCGACCGGGACGGGGAGCGATATCGACTTCAGACAACCTTTAAACCTTTGCTGACGTCACACGTGGGAAAAATCACGTGTCCACAACATTTGGGTCAGTTAGCTGAGGAAGACTGAGTGATTCAGTCGAAAATTTCTGGTGAGTCAAATTTTGAGTTGGAGAAAAGTTTAAGTTTTTCATAATGTCTAGGACATGGTATGGTATTAATCCCTCCCGTTTCACAGCCTTTGACCTCCCCAACCGAAGTCAGGTGTCCATTTTAGTTCTGAGTGGCGTCGGGTGATAATTCTTGTTAAGTGCATTTGCTAAGAACGCAATGTCTAGCCAGCTGCAGAAATGCCAGGGATCGAACCCGTGACCCCATGATCTCGTATCCGCTTGGCCACTGTTTGGAATAAAAGCTAATAACAACAACGTGCTAGACGAGGCCTCTTTTTAGCTTGAACATTACCTTTTGTACCCGGAACCGTACCTAGAGTTCCGTGCACCTTAATGTTAAGTTCAGGCACGGTTTTGAATAGTCTCCGCGTATCCAAACACGCAGATGTGCCCCAGGCACGGTTCTGGACAGTGCCTGGGCATGGTTCTGGATATAACATCGCCAGTATTGTAGAGTGTAGACTTGACTATGGCGACGTGGGAGAGTAGTCGCGTCTAGTACGCAGGACTTTGTATATTGATTGTGTGACTAACACATTGTTGACAATGTGAATTACTAGTCCCTTGTTGCTAAGTACTGTCTGAGGGTCGGATAGCATGTTTCTCTGTTATTCTCCTCTATAACTCTCCTAACAACTCTTTAGTTCTATAAACTACACTTCAACAACCGCGACGTCAGTGGTAATTTGCCACACCCCTCTTAAGTGACAGTGAGTCACTCAGAAATGATTTACTGAGTGGGCTTTTCCACGGAAAACAACCTTATCCTTTGTTTTGGGTGCAGCAAGCAAATACCTAAAGATAATATACTCGATTTTCCTCTTTTAAAAATCAGGTGTATGTGCTGTCAGGGAACAATATGTCGTGTGCCTTATTCTGAGTGGGCGTTTCTCCGGAAAGCACCCTTATCCGCTTTGTTTTGGGTGCAGCTATTGGAGATTTCCTGCATTTCCTGATTTCAAATCTGTTTCGGAGAATGCAGGAAATCTCCAAATGTTTACATGTGGGGTGGGCTGAGAAAGCATATACTCTATTGTCTTACACGAGATTAGGTTCCCTAATGTGACGGGTGTAGTAATATAATACCGTGGGAGTTACGTCTCTCCAACGGTGGGGATGCATACAACTCTCCTTCCGACCAGGATAGCCTCTACCAGGCTTTGGGAGGAGGCTGCCTCTACCAGGCTTCGTGAGGCGACTGCCTCTACCAGGCTTCGGGAGGAGGCTACCTCTACCAGGCTTTGGGAGGAGGCTGCCTCTACCAGGCTTTGGGAGGAGGCTGCCTCTACCAGGCTTCGGGAGGTGGCTGCCTCTACCAGGCTTCGGGAGGAGGCTGAAAAGAGTAGAAATTTAGCCAAGTAGAGAGATAACATGCCGGGGAGTTGGTCTACCAGAGAGTACAGTTTCGGGTGCGACATGTTACCTGTCTATTTGGCCAACTTCTACTCTTTCCAGCCACTTCTGCAGCCTGGAAGAGGCTACCTCGCACCGTGAATAATAAGTACATGTACTATGATTTTTTTTTACTAGTAATTGACTCAAGTTTCGTGATTCCCTGCTAACACCTAAACAGATACACATATTATACACCTATTAAAACCAATGTAAAATTAGAACCAGTAGGCAGGCCGTTTCACATACGTGTCTTGAGGTTGAATGATAAGTAAAATAACAGTATTTGTAAAGCAAATTATAACAAAACTTTGCGTCATGGTATAGTGATTTTAATTTTTCTTTTACGTTACGATTAATCTAATTGTTCTACTTAATTGATAATTAGAAAAATTCAAATCCTGGTTATTCATTATCAGGTGGTAGGACCACGCCGTTCCAAGATGGCGAGCGTGTTTTGCAGGGGAAGAACTCGGTGGGTAAAATTCGCCTTGGAAGACGCGCTACGTCCGTTTTAGGTGGTGAGTTGCACCTAACATTGTCCACAATATTCTCGTAATCATTGTTAGTGAACGTATTGCAAGGAAATGTAGCAAAAACACAGAAAAAGTGTGAAATTTTTACGGCGACGTTTCCCTGGCTTTAACTCTACACTTAGTAAAACGGCCGCCGGAGGGCGCCCTTTGTGTGCCGAGATGTGCGACTAAGGCCGTGTTTAAACGGAATCACCCAAGGCGGTTTACATGTGGTTTACCCCGAAGCCGGTTTCAAGTGGCTCCATGTGAACGCTCCGAAATCACATTAAAAGCGCCTCGATCCCAAGTCACTTCTAGAGGTGGTTTCGAATCGGTTTCCCCGCATCGCGATTTGCATCTGAACACAATGTGATTTCAATGTGACTTCGCCTGGTCATGGATTACGGGGTGATATTTCTTTATTTATATGCAATACCAACTTTTACGTGGCAGTAACTTAAAGAGCAGTAGTGGTCAAATAATGTGTCCGTTCTAGGGCGAGCTTCACCGCCTCTGGCGGGACCAAGTCGGCATTTGGCCGAGATACGCTAGGAGGGGGGCATCAGCAAGCAGGTCGTTTACCTCTGACATTAATAACACGCCACCTTGCGTGTTATCATCAAACAGTAATAAATGTAGCTCAAGCGAATTGTGTTCGGACACGGTTTCACAGGTGTGTGTGGCACGTGGACCAGATGTGAGGAATGTGAGTTACCCGAATCGCGGTTTGGGTGATTCCGTTTAAACACGGACTAACTTTAAGTTAGTTTGATAGCGACTTTCAGTAACCTGGGTGTCAACCGATTTCATGTGATAGGATAGTGCAGGAATGTGTGTTCTATGTAAGTAGTGGGCGTGTGGTCAAACAATAAGCGGTACTTTAACAGTATGTTATAGCATTCACAAACTATAATTATTGCTTTTCCTGTAGACTAAAGAGATTAAAAATCCTGATTTTCAAGCGCATTGAGCAGACTGAACATTTAACACCTTGCAATCTGTAATTGCTTAGGCCACACCGACTTAATTTTATGGATGACATCCTCTGAAGACCCCCAAACTAGTGCGCGCGGGCGAAAAAAAATAAAAATCCGGCCAAAAATAAAAATGCTACAAAACCACAGGAATACAAACCTGGTATTGTGAATTTGGCGCATTACATAGCGACGTATACGACATGCCGACACATGCTGGATTTTTGCGGAATATATGAATCGACACTGCTGTACGTATGTACTGAGTTCTTGAGTCTTAGAGCTTCGGTAGCCTGGGTGCCGTCAACCAGAGTTATCACCACCATGCACTACCCAGGCCTAAAGCCAGGCCAGAGCCTCGGAATACGTGATCTTTTTTTTTGAGATCGGGCGAAAATCAATGCGCGCGCGGATGTCATCCATAAAATTAAATCGGTGTGGCCTTATCAGAACTTATTGGAACCTGTCATCAAATATTGTAAGAACATAATCTTAGGTAACACATGGTAACACTGTATTCAGGGATTTACATTCAAGAAAACCGAGATTTACAATAAACGACAAGTTAAAAGCGACAAGGCGAAAGGTTATAATTAAGTCTGATAATTTCCTTCCTATAGCATCAAATGCCAAAAGCAACCTTCCCCACTTTTGTTAAATCTTCGCTAACAATTCGTGCTGAACATTTTAGCTTTCAAAAACTGTAACTGCTTTTCTCGAAGAAGAACGGACTTTGAAGAACTTGCAAGCTGTTATTGCTTTCTGTATTAGGCCATGTTGATTTGATTATATGGATGACATCCGTGCGCGCATGAATTTTCGGCCGTTTCCAAAAAAAAGTTTTCAACCATACTGTAAATCGTACAAAACGGTTGCAAAATGAGCAAAAATATACCGTAAGTTACAAAAAAAAAAACGCAAAAACTATACCAATGTCGTAGAATGCCAAAATCAAACGAAAAAAGACGAAATTGTAAAGAAATGAACTTGAAGACTAGATTATTCGCCAAACCATATTATGTCCCATTTGTTCAACCCTCATGACCACGTAGATTTCATAATGAAAACAACTTTTTTTTTTTGCAAAACTTTTTTTTTTATTCGCACGCGCGCATCAGTTTTGGGGCTCTCGGAGATGTCATCCATATAATCAAATCAACATGGCCTTATAGTCAATCTCATAACAGTTGAGCTGTTGAGCTATTCCCTGTGTTCGCTCAGCCCATCAAACTGAAGAACAGACAACACAGCACAGAGAACAGGGCGGTCGTCATGACAGATTCTGCCGTCTTTGTCGCACTGGAAGTCCATGGCTCTGAAATTAAACAGAAAGACACATTCAAAAGTCCATTTAATTAAGCATTGCTACTTTGTGAGAGTCGTCAAGGAGGCAAACTAGATCAGGTTTCACCGATCATCTCCCAACCGGGACGGGGGTCGATATAGACTTTCACCCATTGCTGACGTCACACGTGCATGAAATCGCGTGTCCTTGGCGTTATGGTCAAATAGCGAGAATGAGTGATTTAGTCGAAAATATAAAGTAAAAAAAAACAATTTTTCCACAAAGTATTCCACAAAATAATGTGAACATTTTAGGTTAAATATTTGACAGTTTTGTGGCGTACCGAATTTGGTCCATCCGGTCCTGACTCCACTGGCGGTGTTGTTCTGACGTAGCCAGTCGGTGAGCGGCCGGAAGTAGTTGAGCAGCGGGCGAGCGGACATCCTCCTGCCTCCCGTGATGGCTTCCATCGCGTCGGGCCAGGGCCGGCTGGAACCCAGCTTCAGCATGTCCCTGGTGGAGACAAGTTCATGGTTACAGCAGAAAAACATAGTCTCTACCAAACTAACTACGCTGGCTATATATAGGAGAATAATTGCCAGGGGAGTTTGGCCGCCTTGTAGGTTTGACTGGCCGAGGAGGGAATTTGAGCAGTCTCCACCAGACTTCTTTTGCGGGGTGAATAAATCGTAGAAATCGGCCTAAAAATGGTATTAATTGGTCAGAGAAGGTAGCCAGCACCCGCTGGGGAAATGGAGCTTCTCTGGCCGGCTGCCTTCTCTGGCCAATTAATACCCTTTTTAGGCCTATTTCTACGATTTATTCACCCCGCAAAAGAAGTCTGGTGGAGACTAGAATTTGAGAAACTACCTCCCCGCAGCCGGACTCCCTTGGCCAATTTTTAGTCTTTTTTTTGCCGAATTCCGTATCCCCGTAGAAAGGTAGTCTCCACCAGACTTCTTTTGCCGGGCAATGGAGCTTCTTTGGCCAATTGATACCCTATTTAGGCCGATTTCTACGATTTATTCACCCCGCAAAAGAAATCTAGTGGAGACTACCACTTGCTACATAACACAATATAATCCAACACAACGGGGTGTCTGCTACAGCACCAGTTGCCGTGGTGACAGCCGTCTGGTCCAGGTCATTGACCTTACGTGTTTGGAGACGAAGAAGAAGAAACAGAACAAAAACAATAATAACAACAAAACAATCCTCCCTAGCCTTCTCGAGTTTTTGTGTTGACACACAGACACACGAACGCCAACGAAAACATAACCTTCTTGGCGAACAAAGCAAAAACAACATGGTAAACATAATAATTAATATAGTTCAAGACGTTTGGTGTGAAAATTACCCGAGCAGTTGTCCAGCTTGAGGGGACCTGTAGAAGTCGCACTTGTACAGCGGACCGGTGTGGCCGGCAGCGTTACACATCGCTTCGTAGAACTGGAACTGGACGATGAAACTCACAAAGTACCTACAAGACAAAAAGGTCGCTAATCACACACTCAGACCCCGTTCATACCAGGCTTCACATACTTAGCCGGTTAGGTCTTTAGCTTGGTTTATCTGGACATGTTAACAAGGCTGTAGTGTTGGCTGACTTAGTAAACGTTACAGACCATCTTTAATTTTATTTATTTATTACAATTAACCACATACATAATATACATGGAGGGAATGGTGGAACAGGTGCACCTAAGTGCACCTTTTCAAGGCCATCATGCCCACAAATAAATAGACAATGTGCATAAAAAAATACAAAACAGTGATACTATATATACAAATTTACAAGATGGTAAAAGCAATAATAACTGGGTTAAACGGGGCCTCGTAGCGCGACAGGAGGTGCAGCCAGTTATTTAATGACCTAATCCACCATCTTGAATTCGAGGATCACACGACCTTGGTTTTTGGTAGTGCGATGTGTGTAGTAAGTTTCATCGTTATTCGTTTCATGTTTCTTTATATATTTTCATTCAATTCATTAGCGAACAATACGTTATCACAAAGAGAGCAGTGCTCAGTTTTTGAATTAACAACATAAAAATGAACTCTGAACTCTGACCTGATGTAAGGAACGTCAGCTGGGATGTGGAATTTACATCCGGGGTCAAAGTCCGTCTCACTCCGGCTCACGGGTGGGATGATACCTTGGTACTGCTGCCTGTGTATGAGCATAAATTAAAAGCAAACAAACAAACAAATAAACAAAACAAAAAGTAAAAATATCACTTATTTTGCAACGCCTTCTTTCTTCGATGATGTTTGCTTCTACTGCCCTAGAAGGACCCAGGAGAAGCTGGGATTATTTCTTTGATTTCTTCCATAATTTAACTTAAAGTCAGTTCAATCTTGAAACAATCTTGAAACAATCTTCGTCAGATTGTGTTTATCAATAACAGGCGAATCTGCAATAAAATCTTTCCGAGTACCTACAAATAAGTCTTCGTCACTTTATCAATAGTTCAAGAAACAATGTCTGAAATGCCTCCGTCCCTGGGGCGTCGCCAAAAAGGAGGATGTAGTATCTATATTAACATGTCAGTCCTAACAGTTTTTGGAAATATTTGGTCACTTTTGATCATTTAATTACTATGTATAAGTGTGCTTCGCTTACCCCATATGTATTGTCGTAATTGTTGGTGGTTGTATAAATATAATTAGTGTAACTTGAGTATGCCATCGTCATATTTTGTCATTAAATGTTTCTATGAAAAAAGGACCTAAGTCTAAGGCCATGTTGATTTGATTATATGGATGACATCCTCTGGGAACCCCAAAACTGAAGCGCGCGTGCGAATAAAAAAAAGTTTTGCGGAAAAAAAAGTTGCTTTCACTATGAAATCTACGTGGTCATGAAGGTTGAACAAATGGCACAGAGTATGGTATGGCGAATAATCTACTCTTCGAATTCATTTCTTTACATTTTTGTCTTTTTTCCTTTGATTTTGGCATTATACGACATTGGTATCGTTTCTAAATGTTTTCCTTGCAACATATGGTATATTTTTGCTCATTTAGCAACTCTTTTGCACGATTTACAGTATGGTTGAAAACTTTTTTTTTTTTGGAAACGGCCGAAAATTCATGCGCGCGCGGATGTCATCCATATAATCAAATCAACATGGCCTAACCTGAGTTTCCACCATTCCTGGTTCATGTTGTCCGCAGTGATCCTGCCGTCGAACACCTTCCAGCGCCACTGGTCCATCATGTACGCAAACGGGAGGAACGCGATCTTCTCCAGGGCCTGCTTCATCAGGTAGTTCAGGTCAGCTTCTGTAATTAAACAATTCTTGCTGTATCTATCATAGCTGCCGCCGCGCTGCGTGCCTGCGAAGCCGGTGTGTTACGCCGAAAGGCGGTTATACCGGCTATACAGATACAGATTATTATCATTATCATTAACTTGTTACTTTATGTGTCTGATATTAGTTATGTTTTCATTACTTGTTTTTAGAAGGGAAACGTATTGTTTCTGCCCTGTTTCTTCTTCTTGTCCTCTTACTGAAAACATCAAGGACCTGGACCAGACGTCTGTCACCATGGTAACTGGTGCTGTAGCAGACACCCGGTGGTGTTGGGTTACACATTATGTTACAAGTTGGGGGGCCGGGTCATTATATGTATGAATGTGCTTGAGTAAGAAGAAACAGAGTAGTAGTTTCAGTTAGGCTAGCTAGACCAAAGGTAAAAATTATATATCTGTTTTCCGAATGTGTGTTTCCTAGTACGTTTATTGCGTTTATTGAGATGGTATAAAAGAGCCCCCTACCGTCATCTTCCTGTAGTACACCGTCGATGAGGCCGATCTCCTTCAGATGTTTAGGGGTGGATACGGACAGAGCCAGACAGTCGCCAACAGCTTCGTGGAAACCTAATATATAAACGTTTCGAAAAATGATTCACATTTATTAATACAGGTTGATATATGCGAGATATGTTTAAGTCCCTCACGATATGAATATCATGAATTGATTAATTTTCAACTCATAAAGTGTATCATTGACAGCTACAACATGACACACAGAAAATAAGCAAATTTGTTACTAGTGTGAAAAGAACAGAGAAGAATCTACTCCCTGGATTTGTATGGTGGATGTATTTCCTCTGCCCTACTTTTCTACGCCTTTAGAACATAAAAACGTTACCTTTACAAATAATATCGGTGATATATTATATATAGAATACAACACGGGGTATTACGTATCGCCCGAGGTATCGGCCCGACCGCGGGTCGGATCGCCCGACGGCCGCAGGTCGGAGGGCGATCCGACTCGCGGGAGGGCCGGGACCGAGGGCGATGCGGAATACACCGTGTTGTATTTTATTAATGTCATACCCACCCAAGAAAACGCGCCTTTCAATGCAAGATGAGCCAAAAGTTGGTGCCCCTGAACCTTCAAATGCAACAACATCAGTTCCAACGTTTGGATTCTGTATTCGAATTTTCGAAAGTGGCGCTCGCGGTAAGGGCGAAACGCTTACGAATTGTTCTATGGAAGCCATGGAAGCGTTCGATAACGGGTTCCGGACCGGGTACGGCCCGGTCCGGAACCCGTTATCGAACGTTATCGCGGCCCGGGTATGATATAAGGATCATGATTGAATTCCTTCCTTCCTAGAACTATCGCAGAGTGGAACTCGCTGTCATCAAGTACAGTAGGGTCATTGTCATTAGATAGCTTTAATGTCTAGAGTTAGAAGTTCAAGGGTTAGGTGTAACAAGTCGATCAGTGTAATGTAGCCAGCTGCCGTCGCGCCGCGTGCCTGCAAAGCTAGTGTGTTACACCGAAAGGCGGTTATACCGGCTATACAGATACAGATACAGAATGATAGGTACCAGGATTCGCTCCCTCCCGGAACGCCACAGGCTGATCCTTATACTGTAAGAAGTACTCGATATGCCCCATCTCATGGTGAACCGTCTGCAGGTCATCCTGGGTCACCTCCGTGCACATCTTAATCCTGACAGAATGAAAGACAAACTTGGATAGCTTACTAACTAACTAGCAAATGCATTGGTCGCACTACAAAAGAGCCACCTGAGTAATGCCATGTTAGCAAAAGTTCAAATTTGTTGAAAGTCGGTACCGCCCCCCGTCTCGGTTGATGTAGAAGGCTACCCTTATACCTCTCACAAAGTGTTCGGTGCCCAGATTTAGACTAGCGATTTTACGTACATTTGTGTCGCCTGTACCTAATATTATATACATTATGTACCCACCGAAAGTCTCTCCTATTATAGAAGTCCCATGCTGAGGCGTAACAAACAACCTCCCTCCCCTCAGGACGGACTATCATGGAGTCCCGCCAGAACTCGGGAGTCATCGGGATCAGACCCAGCGACGTGAAGAACTGCTCCGACTCGTTAAACATCCGCAAAGCGTCCCAACCCTAGAGAAAAAGTTAGTAGCTATAGTTTGCTGATGAGATGTATTTGAAACTAAAAAATTGACAAGAATTTGCAAAAATTCTTACCTTCACATGGTCTAGCCAAACAAACTACTGCTCTGTTAATTAAACGATACGTTAGACGTGAACGCATTCATACATGTAGTGACTGACCCCTCCAACTCTGTCCTGTCATGCACTTGCTACATAATGTAATTTAACACCACATGGTGTCTGCTACAGAGCCAGTTACCATGGTGACAGACGTCTGGTCCAGGTCAGTGACCTTAGGTGTTTGGAGATTGCAAGAAGACGAGGAAGAAGAGACAGAGCAAAAACAATGTTTCCTTCTGCGAAGGTATGAATGTAAAACAAAAGTCAAGTAACATAAAAGAAAGAGGAAAAAAAACTTGACCCAATCACTTCAGGAAAACGCTCACCTTGTTCACCATGGCGCTCGTCACGTCAATCCTCTGTTTGCCGGAAAACGGTTCCACGAGGTCGTAAATGTTGTTCCACTGTTGGGACCACATGTTACCTGGAGGAAGATAAAAACATAAACTATCATTTATCATATGGACGCAAATCCATCATATGGACGCCTTTTTAGAAATCATATTCAAATGCCGCAGACTAGATGCAGTATTGCTTACTTTATGTGTAGTCCTGGGAAGGGGGCTATACATGCATTAACTCTTACTCTAATACGGTGCACAAATGGCACAGAGGCATCTTTGGCACGTTGGAATGGTTTTACTATTCGCACTTGATCTTTGATTCATTCCATCGGTTTTCATACTCCTTCCCAACAGGCATAACAGGTATAAACGTTTGTTAACAAGCCAGCAGGGTTACCCCTTAAACCTCTTAAAATGCGCCTAGAAAACTGAAGCTTGATGGAAAGCGCCTAGCCAAAAAATAATAGCTACTTCTGTATCTGTATAGCCGGTATAACCGCCTTTCGGTGTAACACACCAGCTTCTGTATCTGTATAGCCGGTATAACCGCCTTTCGGTGTAACACACCAGCTTCTGTATCTGTATAGCCGGTATAACCGCCCTTCGGCGTAACACACCAGCTTCTGTATCTGTATAGCCGGTATAACCGCCTTTCGGTGTAACACACCAGCTTCTGTATCTGTATAGCCGGTATGACCGCCTTTCGGTGTAACACACCAGCTTCTGTATCTGTATAGCCGGTATGACCGCCTTTCGGTGTAACACACCAGCTTCTGTATCTGTATAGCCGGTATAACCGCCTTTCGGTGTAACACACCAGCTTCTGTATCTGTATATATAGCCGGTATAACCGTCTTTCGGCATAACACACCAGCTTCGCAGGCATGCGGCGCGGCGGAAGCTGGCTATATTACACCGATCGACTTGTTACACCTAACCCTTGAACTTCTAACTCTAGACATTGTTTAAATCTATATATCTAATGATAATGCCCCTACTGTACTTGGTGACAGCGAGTTCCACTGCGATACTTTAGGAAAGAATGAATTCTTGAACACCTCAATCCTTGCTATGCTAAATCTGGTACCAGTGAAGGCATAGGCATTGTGTAGCTTACCAAACAGATGAGCAGGGATGGGGTCATCTTGGTCCACCTTGTCTCCGCCGTAAAACTCTCCCAGCCGCCGTCTGACGTAGGCGTGCAGCTCCAGGTACATGGGTCTGACCTCCTGCCAGAGGTCCTCAAGGTCATCTTCGAACGTGGGGGTCTCATACCAGGAACGCCAGTAATCACCCACGTCATCGTAACCTGGACATTGGTGTGAGACCTAGTTTATCATTCTAAGAAACAGTTTTATTTACCGAAAGAAAACATATTGTTTTTGCTCAGTTTCATCTTCTCCAAACAAATAAGGTCAATGTCCTGAACCAGACGTCTGTCACCATGATAACTAGTGTTGGGTTACATCATGTTGCAATTTTATAGCAGGAGGGATTTAGACTTCTGTCTGACCATATACTATACTCAAGGCCAGCTTCGAGCGTGGCGGTCTGTGAGACCCAGAATATGACCGACGGGTATAAATAATGAAAAAAAGGGATCTTTTTTATGCATAATCAATGAGAATAATTCGTCATGATTTGTAATGGTTAACATCATTTGCTCGTGGATCTTATCTTTAATTTATATTTCTACGGAATGTTATATTACGTAAAAGGTTTCCTTTTTTTACTCCTCACAGCGCAAACGTTATCGCAGACGCCGCCTCAGATTTTCAGAGTAACAAAAATAAAGCAAACGGTTATTTTGCAATAAACACATAACAAGAAGCCATAGGTGACAATCCTCCGTGAAGTTTTATATTTTGCAACAAAAATAATCCCAAGCGTCAACGCCAGACCTACTGTGCAGACATAAGGCAACGGTTCATACAATGAGGGCGCGTCACAACCATTAAACATAAAAAGACCTAAATCCATTACTGCTCTCAGGGCGTGTAAAGATACTGTGCTTCAAGTTCGAAGTTCATTTTAATTACGCACACACAATCATTGCATTCACATAAAGATCGGACTATCATGGTCGTGTCACTGGTAACAAAGACAGCCCCATCGTCTTACCGTGCCTGTTACTTATTAAGCGCGACTGGCAAATTCCAGCAACAGTTGCGGCCAGCACCGCGAGTGTTACTGCCGTGGTACCACTCATCGGCCCCTCACGGCCTCACCATATCTGCCTGAAGTTCCACCCCCCCACACCGCTATTCCAAACAACGGGTTTTTCTGGACCATTCCAATTTGCCTCATAATTGTAGGGGTGCATCTGCAATATTACATTGACAGCGAAAGCATGGACGGCAAAAATACACATTCGTGCATCAACACGGGCATGCCCGCAGACGGCGTCTAAAATTGCGTGCCGATTACACAAAGAGAACCTAGTGTTTTGACTGTGAACACGAAAAAACGGCTCTTCACAACACTCCGTCCGGAGGTCCTGACCTCCTTCACGGAGAAACAAGTACACCGTAATCCATCTACGGGCATAGCTACTGTATATTTAGCTTTTGAAGTTGCTTACCCAACTCTGTGATAGCCTCATTCTTAAGGGTGACGTATTCCTGGTACATGGGGCGCAATGTCGGTCCAACAGCGTCGCGCCACCCTTGCCAGATGAACTGCAGCCGGTCGTAGTTACGGCCATTTGCCAACTCGTTCGTCAGATCTGTACGGATAAAAACGTTGGTTAAACTTGGGATTCAACACTTGATTTAACAGTTACTGGTAGCAATGGCAGCACCCCCCCGGCCCCCCCCCCACACACCCTTTTTGAATTTCAAAATTAATGGCATGCCATTCTGAACATTCCACATTGTTTCTAGCATACTCTCATTACAAATTTGATAATTAAATTTGATCCTATTTTTTCCTGTGAAAAAGGAGATATCCTTCTGTGGGTGTTTTCGGTAATGTTTGTGAGTTCTTAGCTATAACTCACGGTACGGTGGGTTTGACGGATCTCGTTCGAATTCGATCTATGTTTAATTGTTGGGGTCCAGATCATGCGGTTTTTTTAAATCTGTGATGGTCTTGGAATAACATGATTCGACATCTCCGTGTTTTATGTGTTCTGTACTGGGAAATACCACACTACTTTTAGGGAGGGTGAGTACTTATATTGCGCTAAGTATTGCATTATTATTGTGATAACGTCCATGTATTAACACACATAACAGACCTGGTTCAAATACAAGTTCACGGTCGCCGTCCTTGACTTTCCCGGTACTGTAAACCTGCTTCATGTCAGCCAGAAGCTGAGTCAACTAAATAGAGAAAGGGAGAAACAAGATTAAGTTTTCAGATTGTGCAGGTGCACTTTCATAATGGTATGTTTAACAAACGCTAAGGACGTAATATAATCCTTGGTCACAACCCGTCAAACGTTCTTTTTGTCCGTACGTTTTTGGGAGGCTACGTCTGCTACGTTTTTTTCTGAAAACGTGGGGAAGGAGTGGCGTCGATGCACGTCACTCGCACGGTTTCGCAAGGTGTAAGAGTGTGGTCTGCACGCCAAGTCTGACCGTGAGCGGTTGCGTGCATCGTACGTTGCACTTAAAGTTCTACGGCGTGTCTGCGTGCTCCCAAATCCGTAGGATTCCGTACGGAGGTGGTACTCACCACGCACGGATGCCCTACGTTTGCCCACGTTTTTGCACGTAGACAGCACGCAGAAGCACGTACGGCGGGTTGTGACCGTGGCTATAATAACACTTTACCCACATGATGTTACATATCGATGACTTTTTAATTGGCCACCGCGTTAGATTTGATTTTTACGGGGCATAATTTCAGTGTAGCATTACGCGATATGATATTGTATACATGTATTTTCAAATTTTGCTGTACATCTCAGACAATATCTTGCAAAGTCGATGAAGGTTAGACATCCAGGTAATACGATACGCCAAAAAGTACTTACTCAAGCACTGCACAGTCACTGACGAATGCCGTTTCCAAAATCATATCCAGTTGCTTGAGTAACTGCTTTTTGGAATATCTTACTAACCCTGTTCAGCTTGGTCTGGTCGCTGAGTCCGGCGTTCCCGATGTTTTTGATCTTGCTGAAGAGCCGTTTGACCGTCTCGTTGTTGAAGGAGTTGACGTCAAACTTCGTAGAATTGACGTACGCTTCCTTCTTAAACCTGTCCCTGTTCAAACTGGCCTGTACCTGTAGGTTATGGGCAAAATCGTACAGCACATTTGAACATAGGACAGTATTCTCAATGTTTCAATGATTTCTTGTTCCCTGGTCAATACATAGTTTATCCTAGGCAACACTATAACAACCTAAGATATTAGCTCATTAAATTAAAGCAAATTGAGATTTCCATGAGATTTCGCCATCATTTATGTGTATTTCGGTATATTCCGGCAAATAGACTGGCTCAGTCATGTGCACGTATGTGGCAAAATGTTTGCTATTCTAAGCGGGAAGGAGTAGCAGGCTGTTTTGTCCCGGAAAAAGTAGATAAAACGTGGTAGATAAGAAAAGTGTGGCTGTGAACCAAGAGCAAAGTTCTAGGAGTAGTAAAGGCTAGATGTTTACACTTAGACTTGGGAGGATTAAAGGGCCAGGGGCGTTTAGATTCCTGCTTAACAAATTAAAACTGGTGAGTCCTATATACAAAGTACAACAGAAAGAAAACAAAGATAACAAAGCTGTATATTTTTGACCAACTACAAGCAAGTAGCAAAGCCAAAAGCTAGCTGCCGCCGAGCCGCGTGCCTGCGAAGCTGGTGTGTTACGCCGAAGGGCGGTTATACCGGCTATACAGATACAGAAATGAGTATAATCCACTGAATGCTGCAAAGCAATGATGTGGATATATGTACTAATGGGAAGAGGCCCCTGGAGCGTGTTTGTTTGTTTAAGCGTTAAAGTTTATACAGCTGACCCGTTTGATCACGCGGCTCGCTGGTCTAGTGGTATGATTCTCGCTTAGGGTGCGAGAGGTCCCGGGTTCAATTCCCGGGCGAGCCCTTAGTTTTTTTTATCATCAAGAAAACAATTGACTTGAAATAGTTCCATTTGTCATGTTGGTTTATTCATTTATTAGAATTTTCCAGACAACTGAATGGGAGGACAAAACAGGTGAATATACACCTTTGCTAGTTGTCCTCCCAAACATTACAATAATACAGTAATACATTACAATAATACACATAATACAATATCGAACAATCAATAATACAATATTTACATTGGAACGTTGTTAAAAACCATACTAATACTAGTGGCGTCTTAAAGCCGTACAGGAGGCGCACCCACATGCGGTCGACCAAGAGCACGGAGCGTCAGCAGGAATGAAGTGCTCATTGAATCTGGTAAATGACACTTTGACAAGTTGACGCTTGAAAGCTGAAATGTTGGACAGCTGATTGGCTTGGACTCCCAGATTACGAAGATCAGGGCCCAGATTATTCCAGACTGTGACAAGCTGTGGGAAATAGGAATAGCTGAAGGCAGATGTTTTCGCTCTGAATGGGGTGAGCATGTGTGATCTGGAGTATCGAGAAGGTCGGGACGGAAAAGAGACATACTTTAGGGCGATTGACCTTGATTTGACAAACATCATAACATCGCTAACCTCACGCCTGAATGAGAGGGGCAACAGACCCAAGGCTACCAGTCTGTCCTTGTAGGTTTGGTTGTTAGCTTGGGCTCCTAAAATGAATTTAGTAGCGCGCCGTTGAACACCTTCTACAAGGGACATTAGTTTGCGGGATTGTGGTGACCACAAAGGAGAACAGTATTCTAAGATACTTCTGACCAAAGTGGTATAAAGTGCCTTACGTACATCAGTGTTGGCATGTGGTTAATAGGACTGTTAGACTATTTTTTTGGAATTTAAATTTTTGTTGTGTTTTATTGAAAAGAGTCGCTCACATCCATCCCGATGCGAGCGGATCAAACCTTTAATGCTAACACAGCTGCAGACGCGCGACTGTGTGCAAGCCACACCTGCACCTTGCGCAATGCGCATATCAACGTTGCTAAGAACTGCGTCCGGCTCAGGTAGCGTGCAAATAAGCTAACTTGTTAAAAACATACTGAGCACACACAAAAAACGCTAAAATGGGGGGAAAGGCCTATGTACTAGTGTGTAACATCGCCTACAATTTACAGAATTCTTCAATGATGTCTGTCCTCATCTCCCCAAACCCTTACCTATAGATACATCTTCAAGACATGTACTAACCTGCGCCTGTTGGTGTTGGGGTGTTATGTCCGTTTCGTACGCCCAGTTCGCCTCTTCAGCTAAGGAAAAGATGTTCTCCGCCATAGAGTTGTACTGGTCCAGCCATACCTTCGCCTGTTCTTCGTCTGTTATCAAGTTTTGCGCCTCCGAATTGTAAACGGTCACGAGAAAGAACACGAGCCACAAACATATGCGCGCCATGGTGGGCGTCCGTGTACGTTACGTCCGCTGGCGAGCTGGCATTGGTTATCAGTAACTTATAAGATAATATGTAATTGTTTGACCCCTTCACACGTCAATCACTCAGCGTCCCAGACACAAAGCTGGCTATTGTATGTATAGAATCGTGCTTTATCTTGATGCTTGCTTACCCACGGTTCTGTATAGTACATGCGTATCCAGAGCCCTGCCTTGATAAACTAAGTAGATATAATTAGTGATATTCTAAAGCTTTTCCATTGCAGAGTCAAACCCACCATGGCTTTAATAAGGCCACACCTATTTAATTTGTTGGTTCTCGGATTTTTTCAGAAAAAATATGAAGCGACAGGGCGAAAAAAATAAAAATAAAAACAGGTCTAGGCATCCTATTATAGGCTTAAATGCTACAAAATGAGCCATGAAGTCAACACAAAAGGCTGGGTAAAATTTAAACATTGAATTTTGAACTTTTAATCAAACCACTGCAATGATAGATTGGAAAACTGTAACAACTAGGAAGAAAAGGACTTTCCTCAACTGTTGGGGGGCAAAACATGAGCATTCTTCAGTTGATTCAGGACCAGAATCAATTTTTTGCAAATCAGAAAAAAAGGAAGAGGCGAATCCGATAACCAACAAATTAAATTGGTGTGGCCTAAAGGGTATTTGACAAAGTACTTCATAGTGATTGACACCTTCCCTTATTATCAATTATGTAAACACTTCTAAACTGTTTGTTTTTAGACGTGGCTAGGCAGAGGGCCAAGTATTACACAATGTAGCTGTATCTGAAAGCATTGCCGCATTTCTTGTATGAATAGTCTTCATTTAAAAGCTTGTTTTGTTTAATGGATACCTCAAACACACTTACACATAATGCAGGGTGGTGGAAACGACGTCAATACCTGGGAAAACAATGGCTACGACTTGTCGAACTTAACAGCAAAGTTACATAACATAGCGTTGTCACCATGGTGTTACACAAACGCAGGTATGTCACCATAGTGTTAAAGAAACGCAGAAATGCGTTATTCACCTTGGCATGACCCGTAGACCGTTGGATGCGTTCCAAGTTGTGTGTTGGGCAACTAGGCAAGTAGTTTGTATGCCTCTGCAAAAAAAACAAACTACGCACAGAGGCTTGGAAATCACGCTTTGTGCCATGATTACAACTTAATGAAGAATATATCTCAGCTATATTAATTTTATCAACATACGTCAAACATGACAAATCATGAATGAACACTTTTGTGAATTCTTTTATCACTCAGTGTTTCAAGTGCAGACTAACACTTTGGTCTAGATCAGATTAACAGAAGTCTTGTGTCAAGCTTTACAGACCTATACACAAGCAATGAGATTTGAAGATTTGTGCATTTATTTTTTCAGATATGTACATTATCACTCTCTAACCCAACATAATGCCTATTTTTCATATGGTCTGTTCTTTGACCTGTAAATGTAATCAACGTTATATATAATATAAAATACAAATAGATGATGAATCAGCATATATATAATATAAAATACACATAGACTAGAGAGGCCGACATTTGCTTGGGAGCAAATACAGCATATTTCAGTCCATCTCCCTGCCATGCAAAAGTGGACTATTCCAAACTTACCCCAGTGTAAAACTGGCAAAGATTCTCAAATAAATGAATTATATAGTAGCTATGTAATTGAGAACAAAGATGCAAGAACAAGCACATTGAATCTCGAAAGCTTTACTAATCTTATTACGGGTATGCAAATACTAACAATGATGAGATATGATACATTTTGAAGGTCTTAGGCACATAAAATTGAATGTGTGGGTCATTACGCACGACTTACGTGCAATGTGGCCTCAGGTAACACGGCGGTCTGTCACTACGGCATTCTTTCCCATTGCTATGCGCGTTCGAAAAGGTATCGGGTTACAAGACGCTATTTTGGCCTGTTTTGGACTACCCGTAAAATATTTGAAAATAAACAAATAATTTTTAGGCGTAAATTTCGTCAAATTAAAATGAAATTATCGTCTTAACATCCTTTAAATGTTAACTTTTTATGTTAAATCACTGATTTTTTTTAATTTCGCTCAGAAAGACGATTATTTTCGGGTTTCTCGGCACAAGTCATGTCACGTTTTTAGGCAAACATCGTTCAAACCTGGCTACGTATATTACCCCAGATCCCCGATTTTTATATTTTTCGCAGACTAGGAATAAGATAAGAAATCGTGTTTTAAGGATTTTTTAATTTCTGATTTTAAGTCCAGTTTTTGTCGACATGTTGGTGAAAAAATGGCATTTTCTGACATTTTTCTCACTAAATTACCCATAATTCAAAATTGAGGCCATTTTTCAAAAATCCCTAAAACACGATTTTCGGGACAGCCATTACAGTCATTTTGAGCCGTAAATGAGGTATGTTTGACTCTCCATGTTTCCAGGTTTGAACGAGTTTTGGAGACATGTCATATCGCCAGAAAGTGTGCATTGTGTTATTCATACTGGTGTAAAGAATCATTACAGTATCAAATTCACTCAAGGATACGACAGTAGCTTCGCTACATGTTACATGTCCACCAAAAATAATAGCGGACATGTACTGTCCAGGAAACTGTTTATATCTATAGAAAAGTGTTTTTTTTTATCTGTTGCAATGCACGGAGGCAGAAAGGCTTGTTTTGCCGCTTTATAGTAAATGACCGCAGGTGACCCCGAAATAGAACGCGGGTTCGATTCGAATTGCCCAGATCGAACACGATCGAACACAGTTCGGGTTCTATGACATGTGGGAACTTTGCAGCCCAGATTTTACCACCGTGTAACCCGCAATGGAACAACTGTTCCATGGCCAACGGCAGATGGAACAGGCCATTCTTTAGATAGAACATGGAACGGGTATAGCACTTTTGGCCCTTTTTTTTCTGAAAATAGCCATTAAAGTCCCCCAAATGAGTCATTTAGAAGTGGTGTATGCCAAATATGTGACTGCTATTCTGTAGACACATGTTCAAGGTACCCTTATACCGAATTTCAGATCATTTGGTTGTAAAACCAGGGCTCAGGATCCAAAAATCCATTTTTTGGGCGAAAAATGCCCCAAAAAACCTTCATAAAAATTATTCAAAGGCATGTATCAAAAAAATGAAAAAAAAAACGCCTGGGGGTATTGGCCCACTCTACCTCCATGCCAAATTTCAAGTCATTTGGCTGAATGATGGCGGAGTTGAATCCCTTTGACTGTTTGGCAGGAGGAGGAGGAGGAGGAGAAACATGAGAGAACACAATATATTTCATCTATACCATGGTATGGACTGAAATATAAATATATGAATCAACATATATATAATATAAAATATACATAGATTATATGAAATCCACGCACACACGTGTATACATGTAGCAATACTCGAGACAAGCCCGACTAGGGTATTTGCTGTGTATAATGATCCTTGATACTCATTTAGGCATTATGTGGCACGTCAATTCATGGGCGACCCCCGGCGGTCTTTGACGCGAGTATAGGAAGTAGTGCAGAGCATATTCTTGGAGGCTAGGTAGAAAGCCTGACAAGAGCGTCAGCCAGATGTAAATTGCGCTGTGTAGTGTAGGAATGTATCGGGTTTGAGACTGTATGATTTGAATTGAGAAGGTTTTCCAGTTCGTGTATAAATGCGCCGTATTACGCAACTAGCTTTCCGGGTGATTCGGCTGCAGTTCAGGTCACGTCCGTAGAGGGCGATTTCAAAGTGTACGTTACGAGCAGATACGCCGACAGGATTTTTTTTTTGTTTCTAGATATTTTGTAGTTTATACCTTCTTCTCAAACATATTCGATTTTCGTATTTGTGAAGTGCACCCTACTATATATATAATTTTTACCGCGTCGATGTGAGTCATCTTGGGGTTCGTACTTAACTATAGAAATCCCCATAGGGCGAAAACTGTGTTACGTTCTGCTACCTTGTCCTTCGTTCGTCTCGAGAGGTCAGAGGTGAACGCGTTTTGTGTCAAAAGTGAAGTTGTATGCCTACCTGATTACCCATGTAGTGCATTTGACGTCAGGTGGCACGTTACGCTTTAGTTTCCTCATATCAAATATAAACTTTCCACACTACAATCAGACCGCCGAAACGACACACCTGACTTTTTTTTATAGCCAAGGTCTAAATTTATATGAAAGGAAGATTTAAAAAAAGTAAAGCCTGTTTGGTCTGAAAAAATTGGTATTAATTCAGGAGGTTTAGAATCAGGTTTGATTCAATTCTTGATTTTAAACCTCCTTGGTGTGAATCGTGATTTCTATGTTTTGTAACCAATTGACAAAGTCTATTCATGAAAAAAAAAACAAGTCATCAGAAAGCAATGTGTTTAATGTACTGAACTACTTAATTGTGTTAGTGGTAAAGATATGTAGCTACATCTTCCATTAAGGGAATTCTGCTCTTATACAACATAACGTCTATAGCTTTTCCCTAGTCTAAAATTATTTCCTACAGTTGCAATGCTATCGGATTTAACGCCCGAACACACGCCCGAACTCGAACATGAATATGGCCTAGGCCGCCTTAACCCAACCGAGAATTACTGACTATGCATATGTACATTATCCAATCAATACCGTCAAGTTTACTGTTTTTCCACAACAATTAAATAGCTAAAATGATTTTTGGTCAAAAGAACTGAAACCAGAACAAAATAAACTAAACTAAGAATTATTCAAGTAACTACTGTATATTATAGTTTCATAAATTAGAAAAAATGTAGACAAAATATCGGACTATGGTATTTCTTCTAAAAAATCTTTAACTATTTGAAAATATACATGTATCATAAACTCTTACAGAATATTTAGCCTAAATATTTTAACTATTAGAATGTAATATATCCTTAAGCTTAGTTTTAGTATAGTCATAGCAAACTATAGTTAAGAGTAAGCCCGTAGGAGTAAATGTTACTAAAGAATGGTAAAATTGCAGAATAGGTGCATCCTAATAAACACATTTTGGAATAGGACAGGCTTGGAGGCTACATAGTAGCGGCACTAGGTCACACTTGCAGGGTTTTTCTGCTGTATGGGCTCTCTTATGCCTGGATAAGTCTGATTTATAAGCTGTGCTGTACCCACACTCCCCACACATGTAGGGTTTATCACCTGTGTGCTTTGCTAGATGTTGGTCTAAAGAGGACTTGTACGCTGAAGAATAGTCACAATGGTCACATTTGTAGGGTTTTTCTCCTGTATGGGTACTCATATGCTGGGATAAGTGAGACTTTTGGGGTGTTCTGTATCCACACTCCCCGCACATGTAGGGTTTCTCACCAGTGTGCTTGGTAAGATGGTAGTCTAAATGAGATTTGTGTGCTGCAGAATAGTCACACTGTTCACAATTGTGGGGGTTTTCTTTTGTATCATTTCTTTTGTACCGTTTTTCTCATATGTTTAGATAAGTTGGACCTGTTAGCTGTCCTGTTTCCACACTCCCCACACATGTAGGGTTTCTCACCAGTGTGTTTTGCGAGATATCGATGTTGGTCCAAAGTGGATTTCTGAGCTGCAGCATAGTCACACTGGTCACACTTGTAGGGTTTTTGTCCTGTATGGGTTCTCATATGACGAGATAAATTAGACTTCCAATCCGCCCTGTACCCACACTCCCCACACATGTAGGGTTTCTCACCAGTGTGCTTGGTAAGATGGTAGTTTAACTGAGATTTGTGTGCTGCAGAATAGTCACACTGGTCACACTTGTAGGGTTTCTCAACTGCGTGGGTTCTCATATGTCGGGATAAGTAAGATTTGTAAGCTGCCCTGTACCCACACTCCCCACACATGTAGGGCTTCTCACCAGCGTTATCCAAGTTGACGTGTGCTGCCGCCTGGACTTCAGCATCGCTTGTTTTGCTGTCACAGTCAACATGGGAAACCCCAGTGGGAGATCCATCACAGCAGTTCTGACCAACTCCGGTGGGAGACCCGTGGCCTGTTGTTGCCATGTTCGGCCTGATGAGGCAATAAAGAAGTTTTAACGGTTAGTGGTTCAAACGTTTAATTGTTAAACTAGGTGTACAGAAACCAACGTTTATCAAGTTCTATTCAAGTCTATGGGTCATACAATTTTAACTTTATGCATGTGGACGTATCCCACCATAACATGATAAAAGAATAAGCCTTGCCTGCTTCATACGATGTTTATTCTCTTCAAGTAAACCGGAACTCGGTCAGCTTTGTCCTTCCGTCGTCTCGTGAGGTCAGCGGTTAGTGCGTTGTCGGTCAAAGGTGAACATGTAGTACATTTGACTTCAGGTGGCACGTTATGTTTTAGTTTCCCCATAATGTCAACGTTTTACACTTTAAACAAACCACCTAAACAACACAAGGGACAAATGTGCAAAGAACTTAATGTAAAGTCAAACTATTTGATCTGAATCTTGATTTCTGTGTTTTATGATCAGCTCACCACCTCTGACAATATTCCATCCAAGGAAAAAGACAACACAGAAGGAAACATTGTGTTCAAGGTACAACCGATTTAATAGTGTTAGCAGAAAATATATGTAGATACATCTTCCAAAAAAAAAAAGCAAAACAAGACGGAAATTTTCTACTATTAGAAATTAAAGCACGTCTGTCATTTTACACAGATACTTTGAAATCAATACTATAGGTTTTTGGTTTTATTACCACAAATCCTAGTAGTTTAAAGAGTTGATATTAGTCACAATATATAATTGTGTTTGTAGGACATATTGGCAAACACTTCGTGACAGGAGCTACTGGTAAATACACAGGAAATCTAAACCCGTACACACACAACACTAACGTCTACATTCCAACTACTGTGTACAAACACAGCACTAATGTCTACCTTTCAGCTTTTACTACTGTGTACAACACGTATTAATCTTAATTACTGATTATGTACAGGATTATTATTCAGTCAATACTATAACGTTTATCATTCTGACGCTGCAATTCTAGTTAGCTAAAATAATTATTTTGGGGGTTCAAAATAATTGATACTAGAACAAAGTATATGGGCTACTAATCAAAACTAAGACTTCTTCTTGTACCTATCTCATAGCTATAATTTAATTAGAAATAGAGTGGAAAAAAGTGTTTTACACCTCCTTGGAAAAAGACTTTGCCAACTTGCAAACATCATAAATTCTTGCAAAAATATTCAGCCTAAATGTTTTCAACATAATTCCATAACCTTACGATTGGTATAAAGATGCTGATATAGTAGGGAAATTGTAGTTAAGAGAAGATTGTGCATACTAAATGTCACTACGAGATGGTCACAGTTGCAGATTTGGTGCCTCCGTGTGAATTTTCATCTGATGGGTTAGGGCAAACTTCGAGGCTGCAGCTAGAATAGCTACACTGGTCGAACTTGTAGAGTTTATCTTTTATATGGGTTCTCATATGTTTGGATAAGTGAAACTTGTGAGTTGTTTTGTACTCACACTCCCCACACATGTAGGGTTTCTCAGCTGTGTGCTTAGTTAGATGTTTGCCCAAATCAGATTTCCGTGCTGCAGAATAGTCACACTGGTCACACTTGCAGGGTTTTTCTCCTGTATGGGTTCTCATATGTCGGGATAAGTCAGACTTTTTAACTGTCCTGTATCCACACTCCTCACAAATGTAGGTTTTTTTTTCAGTGTGATTTGCTAGATGTTGGTCCAAATAAGATTTGTGTGCTGCAGCATAGTCACACTGGTCACACTTGTAGGGTTTTTCTCCTGTATGGGTTCTTATATGTATGGATAACTGATACTTGTAATCCGCCCTGTACCCACACTCCCCACACATGTAGGGTTTCTCACCAACATTATTCAAGTTGACTTTTTTGTGCTGCCACCTGCTCTTCATCATTGACTGCTTTGCTGTCACAGTCGACCTGGGAAACCCCGGTGTGAGACTCATCACAGCAGTTTTGACCATCTACGGTGGGAGACCCGTGTCCTGTCGTTTCCATGTTCAAAAATGAAAATTAAGAAATTTTAAAGATTAAGCGTTAAAAGTTGTTAATGATAAAATTGGGTTTATAGAAAACACGGTTAAAAGAGTTATATAACTTATAACTTCAACTTGAGCTACACAACTATTTCAGTCTTTTGCATATCAATGCAACCCACCATACTTATATGTTATATTTCTCGCATTTGAATAAATTCACTTCTATAATGTTGAAAATCATAATTTCTGAGATCTTACAATCACTCGTTCACACCACTGAGCGTATTTTTAAATAATATAATATAAAATGTTTTAAAAATCATTTTATATTATATTATTTATTACTTCTACGACTACAAACAATAGGTAAATTGACTCCATTCGCTTTGCTTGAAAGAGACTCTGCAGTATAGGTTTGGTCACCATGCTGTAGTTATTGTTTTGTTGATTTTGTTTTTGAATTCCTAGTTTAACGTCTATTTTTCTCGCTAGACATAGTCTCTATGTGCTCAATACACTGTTTTCACAGTTCTACGCTTTTCTGGATTTTGTAATGTACGCCTTATGTGATTCTTTACAATCCAGTTAACATTTCTATATTGTCCCCCAAAAAGCCCCCAAAAAAGCCACTTTGCCTGATACAAATTGACGTACATACTGGCAAGGGTCGAACATATGTTAGGTTTCACCCATATGCCCTCCCCCTTTACTTCCAGCATATAAATCATATAACATTGCGAAAATGTCTACAATTTTTTTAGTCAACATTCCTAATAGTATCCTTTTATATTATTCAACGCCCTCCAAATGGGCCACTTTGCCTTATGCAAGTTGACGTACATTATAGGTGGCAAGGGTTGAACATATGTTAGGTTTCGCGAAATTTCGCCCCCCCCCTTTATTTCTAGTATATATAAAGATTGCAAAAATGTATACAAATAATAGTCTTAAAGAGGTCTTTCTTCCACAGAAATAATCTGTAACTATTTCTCTCATCATAAGAATACTTTGCTCCCCGTTTCGAAGTCTTACCTGCTTCCTTTGATGGTTTTTCTCTTCACGAAAACCGGAACTCGGGCAGCTTTAAGACCGCAGAACACAGTAATTATCCGCGACACTATTACGTAGGGTACAGAAAATAGTACGGACGAAATCTTGTAGCGTTTGTTTACATTTTAAAATGAAAGGCAGGGAAGCATGAACTTTACCGTATGGTAGTATAATGAGTCGACTTTTCGATCGTATGAGTAGGATTCTGAAGTTTGCTCGTTCAGTGTATAAATGCGCCTGTCTTACGCAACTGCCTTCCAGGGTGAGTCGGCTGCAGTTCCGTTGACCCCGGTAGAGGGCCAAATGAAAGAGGGCGTCATAATGTTAAAAAAACGATAACTTTTTTTTTGTTTTCAGTCATTTTGCAGTTTATATCCTAAATTTCAACATATTAGTTGGTCGTGTTCCTCTAGTGCACCCTGCTATAATTTTTACTGCGTCCAAGTGAGTCACCTTGGGGGCCTTAACTATAGAAATCCCCACAGGGCGAAAACTGTGTTCTGCCACCTTGTCCTTTCGTCTTCTCGTGAGGTTAGAGGTGAACGACATCTGGGTCAAAGTTGAAATTTTCTGCCTGATTACCCATGCAGTACATTTGACGTCGGGTGGTACTTTACGCTTTCCTAATAAACGTTACACTTCAAACAGATCACCGAAAAACGTAAAATGCGCCATTTTTGCTGGTCTAATATTATATACAGTATCAGTCATAGTAGATACTGTAGATAGATGTTAAGTAGGATTTACCATGGTCAGTATTGACCGACGGAGGCCATATATATAATAATATAGGAAAGGGAGATAAAAGCTGCTCTGTTAATTCTTACTAAAACACATTCAAATGTATGGTGACAGGAGTCTAAATCCCTCCAGCTAGATAATTGCAGTATGATATACTACAAAAACTAAAGTAACCCCCCACTAACTATGCAGTTTCACCCCGCTACCTCAACGGGTGGGTTGAGTTGTCGGACACTCCGAGAACATATGAGGTGATTTGCGATATGATCGTGCAGGAGCAGTTCCTGTATCTATTCACAGTGGAGCTGTCAACACACCTGAGAGAGAGGAAGCCAAAGTTATTGGAGGAGTTGGGGAAGATGAGTGACCAGTATCTGATGGCTCGCGAAACGAGCCTGGCTGAAGGTGTCCGTCCACGCAACTCATCAAGCGCTGAGGGTGTGTTTAACAGGAAGAGCGGTCAAGGTGGCTCCGGGGAGCCTGGGAGAGGCTTCCGTAAGACCTGTTACCACTGTCGCGAAACAGGGCATGTGAAGGCTGATTGCCCTAGTTTGGGGAAGGGGTTCTCCAAGGAGAATGTGGTTGCGCAGAGTATGTTCGCACAGGGAGCAGACGCGGATGGAATCTTAGACAGCAAGTACAGCAGCACTGGAGCTGAAGACAGCAAGTACAGCAGCACTGGATCTGAAGACAGCAAGTATAGCAGCACTGGAGGTGAAGACAGCAAGTACAGCAGCACTGGAGCTGAAGACAGCAAGTACAGCAGCACTGGAGCTAAAGACAGCAAGTATAGCAGCACTGGATCTGAAGACAGCAAGTACAGCAGCATTGGAGCTGAAGACAGCAAGTACAGCAGCACTGGAGCTGTGAACGGTCGGCGAGTACACGTGTACAGGGACACTGGGAGCTCCAGGACCTTTGTCAACAAGAAGTGCCGAGGAAGATGTTCGCAGTAAAAACGCATTGTTCTGGACGTAGTATATACTGTGTAATTGGGCATGTGGTGTGCCATTATATCCGTGGTGATGCACGTCTTTAGAAACATCCCTACTTTTAAAATCCTGTGGAATAGGCGGTAGGTTTTACTTTAGGTAGTTGTCTGGTAGCCGAGCTGTTGTGCATAATGGTTGCGAGTATCTTTACCTCCAAGAAAAATGGAGGTATTGTTTTTGGCGTGTCTGTCTGTCTGTTTGTGTGTGTGTGCGCGCGTGTGTGTGTGTGCGTGCGTGTGTGTTTCCGCACAATTGTAGTCAGAATGGCAACGTATTTTCATCATTTATTAAATGACGATAAGATAAGGTTAGATAATGTGTTTTTTACACTCTACAATGTTATGTGCATATTGACTAACAGGGTTCCTTTATCAGTTTGTTTATTATTTTGGATATATTTTCATTTCTATTATGTTCTGTTACATTTCAATGCGAAGTCTTTTTGACCCATGATCTTGTATTGGTGCATTATCTTGCATATTGTGTTGCTGAATAAGTATTATGCTGCTGCTTGTCTGACAAGTTAATTATTATGGTATGTTTGTTTTTCTTGGTGCATACTGTAATTCATGATAAAGTTTATAGCAACAGTGCCCCATATAAATGACACATATATGTGATGCAGCCACGTGGCGGTAAGCACAGACTTCACAAATTTTGTCAGTGAACAACTACTGCACGCTTTTGTCAACAATCCAGTTGTTATCATGAAAGTTCATCTGTGTTGATAGTTACATGTTTAGAGTTAAAACTTTTGGTCCAACACACACAAAAAAAAGGTCACTCACCTAGAACTTTCGACCAGTGATCATAAAGGCCATATACATCAGGGCCCATCACCCTTTATTGAACCGCGACGGGGGCCGACATCGTCTACCAGATACCTTTGACACAGTGTTGACGTCACACTTCAAAGAAGCCACTTCACAAGCTTCACTGGGTTAGTCTACTGAAGAAGACCAGAGTGACTTTTTGTGTTGGACCAAAAATTCTAACTCTAAACAAATCCAGTTGTTCTATATCTCATTTCTGGAGGTTTGTTTAGCTCCGTTTTGTTTTACTAGAACAGATCTAGATATTATGATTTCATCTCCCACCTTACCAGGCATGCCCCATAAGCTGTGACACGCACGCGCTCTTTAAATTACTAACACGGTCTGTCTCCTAATTTAGAACAAACTCCATTTGTCTAAACAGGTAAAATCTACCTCTGTTAACGCATTTGAATGAGCACTGTAACGGTTATTATTGCATAGTAGTAGTTAGTAGTAGTAGTATAATGGTTAGTTCCCACAACCGACATCCTGGTTGCATTACCAATAGTACACTACGCAACACTACACATCTTCACGTTCCCCGCTGTAGAACGAAGGTGTACCGGTCCAGTTTTATTCCACATGCTTCTTCCCTTTGGAACCGACTTCCACAGGCACTGAAGGAAGCCAGCAGCCTAAACGACTTCAAGAGAAAGTGCAAGGATTACCTGTTCACTCCGAGACATAACCAGCCGTACAGACGTCTAGGTACCAGACGTTGGTAACTTCGCTGTTAGACAGTATGAAAATGTGCCACATCCGAATGAAAGGGTGACGTCACAACGACCCGGAAGCGGAAGTGACGAGTACGAGGTTCCCATGGAAACCATCCAGCCACCAACCGTCCCTCTAACCCAAGCCGGTGACGACTACCAAGAACTGAGGCCTGCTGTCTACCAGAGTCCGACTGTCTATCACAGTTATATACGATAATTATTTGTAAAATAAAAGGGTCATTATGGTTTCAATAGGCTGAATATTGCATCTAAAGCCTAGGCGGCAGTTGTTTGTAGTTTGCACATATACATTCGGCTTATATAGAATCTGTTATATTTTCGCATGCGTGGATTTGTATGTAGTTGATTTGAAGTGGTGACTCTGACAATTGAGTGTTGTAGAATGTTGTAGAATAGCACTTTGAATAAAACATGTTCTTTTGTAAGGCCATGTTGATTTGATTATATGGATGACATCCGCGCTCGCATGAATCTTCGGCCGTTTCCAAAAAAAGTTTTCAACCAAACTGTAAATCGTACAAAACAGTTGCAAAATGAGCAAATATACACCGTAAGTTGCAAAAAAAAAAGATTGGAAAATGATACCAATGTCGAAGAATGCCAAAATCAAACAAGAAAGACGAAAATGTAAAGAAATGACTTAGAGTAGATTATTTGCCATACCATACTCTGTGTCATTTGTTCAACCTTCATGACCACGTAGATTTCATAATGAAACGAACTTTTTTTTTGCTAAACTTTTTTTTATTCGCACGCTCGCATCAGGTTTGGGATTCCCAGAGGATGTCATCCATATAATCAAATCAACATGGCCTAATTCAAGTCTTTCTATGTTAGTTGCTTACCGACTACATAACGTAAAGATTAAACTTCAAGAAAGCTCACTCAAAAGAAATAAACTGTTCACAATCATTAAACTAAGAAGAATTTTAAGTATGCTTTTTAAGTAGCTAATTCCAAAAAAATTATTCGGCTTCGTCTTTTAATAAATGAATATCGCCCTGTCCCAATTATGTTTGCCGTCCCTAGAGAAAAGAAGAGAAGCCCTCAGTCTTAAGTTTGCAAAGTCCCTCCTTAACTCCCCTACGTTCCGACATTGGTTACCCCCATCCCGCTCAGATATTCATGGCAGATGCTTGAAGGGGGCGAACCAACTCGACATCCCCTTGACGAAAACAAAGCGGTACAAGACAAGTCCAATCCCCTATTTCACTGATTTGTTAAATAAACAAGCAGACCTAGGTTGAAATTTCCCAGTACCGGACCAATATAGTTTTAATCATTTGCTGATACTTTTGATCTATATCTAATTCATAACTGTGTACAGCCCATAACTGTGTACAGCCAGTATTTGTTTATGTTTGTTCATGTAGTTTGTCAATGTCCTTTGTTTGTTTAGTTCACCTTATTGTTTAATTGTTTTTAAACCTGTGTACGTAATTCAGCGGTTTTATACGCTGCCATGTACAAGGAGTGTCGTCAATAAACTATTATTATTATTAATATGAACATCCTATTTGTAACAATTACTAAATACGTACAGCTAATAAACAATACACTTGCCACAGTAATATAACATATATCATAGTAATAAAAGGCCATAAACGTCAACAAGAAGTGGTGGGAAATTTACAAAACCCGCAGTTTACCAAATACCTAGAAAAAAAAAAGTTGTTCAAAACGACTCCTATGTCTAATCACTCCCGCTGTCCCTACAAACGTGTAAGGTGTAAAGTAACAAGCCTCATTATGTACTCCATTTGTGTTGTCAACAATCGGCTTATCTGATATGCCTAGCCTGGTTACCAATAGGTCTGGTAACCAGGCTAGGATGTAGGACTCGGGAGGTATAATGGGTTTGGTAACCAGGCTACGATATGCCACGCTATTGTTAATTATAACAATATGCTTCTGTCCGTTACTCAACTTACTGACGTCTTTGTCACAAAATGGGCAGTTTACCGAGCATGCTTTGCTTGTACTTGTACCTCTTTACACAGGCCATAACAGGTAAGGTAGTTCTATCATCATGTCATTTCTAGCCCATGATTGTGAGTAAACGTATCAAAGCAGAAAAACATCCTGTTTACAAAGAACTGCGAAAAAGAGGAGGTACATGTAGACAGGCATACAATCTAACAGACATATCTATAACGTACTTATAGGGCATACAGTCACCGTGAATCAATCATTTTGATCCTACTACGGCGAGGGAAACGATAGTAAAGTAGATATTAAAGAGAGGTCTGACTGGCATTCTAGTTTAAATAACCGATATTCTCTCCATGCAGGCACGGCGCAGACCGCATACACAAGGAAGGCCTTGACCGGGAGTGACGTCACACTTCCTTGTGACTATGATCAGGCAGCTCATTTCTTGTCAGCTGGAGTGTGCTGATTGATGGAAGCTTTCTCAACTTGTATCTGAGAACACCAGGCAGCACCTCTAACGCTGTAACACCACCCGCACAGTTCGTTGGACGGTTATCCATAGACGGAATCTCAAACCTGAGACTGACAGGCGTCACTATTGCAGATGAAGATCAGTACAGATGTATTGTCACAGCTACAACCAGCCCAACTACAATGGTCAACCTACGGGTTTTCCGTGAGTACTAATATATGATTACCTTGTATTGTCTGTTTTGTCTTTGAAAGCAGGTTGGCATATCTTAATATCTCATTTAGAGGGGAGCAAGCATGTAGCTTCCATTAGAAAATCTTAGGCGTGATCGCAGACGTAAGACACTGATATAAATATACCCTGTCAATTCTTCCCACACCACAGAGCAGCCAACAAGACCCCAAGTTCAGGTCCAGTACGACCCCCAGCAGTCTGACTTGTCCAGTGTTCCACTCAACACGACCATCACCTTCACCTGTACCAGTACAGGGGGTCGACCACCTGCCAATCTAACCTGGAATGGCAAACCGGCATCTGCAACCCCCACATACACATCCTCTAATGACTCCCAGGGAGTGGGAGATGCCACATCAACATTCAACTTCACTACAGCAGAGTACGGAGTGACCTACAGTGTATACTGTAGAGCTAGAGGTCCAGATCCCATCCAAAAAAAGAATCTCAGAAGAAGCCAGCTTCAAGACAGAACCAGGTATTTCATTATTTGGTTGTGACAGTTTCAGATGTTTTGTATTAGTTCATTCATAATTAGAAAGGCATTCCTGCGCGTGTGTAGTCAATCTGTATCGATGATATATTCATGATTACATTTGTCTACTAGTAAAGTTTTATTGCTACTAGTTGGCATATTGACTCAATCATAGTAAGTAAACATATCAAACATCATAAACACATCGTCAAAAACTAACAAATATAGAGTTATCATATATTGCATTTGCATATCCAATTGTCACTCCCTCCACACCAAATCGTCAAACAGGTATTGCACGTTTTAATTTGTTTAGATGTGTTTGTCTTTAAAACAAAAAGAGCTCCTCCTGTTTTCAAAATCTTGATCAACTTGGTTAATGTCTACATGTATACTATGGTGAACCAGTTTGATACAAAATAAAGACATCTTTTTCATAAAACTTAGCCATTTGTCAGTAGGATTTGTAATTTTCATAATCATCACTACTTGTCAGCACTTGGTCAAAACTATACTGTTATTCTCTTTCTTGTCATCAATTAATTTTATAGTTATCTTACAAAAAGCACAGTTACTATTTGAAAGAAGTTCATTTTAAAGAAGTCACCCATGAATCTCACCAACAAATTTTCCCCAAATTTTAGCTGTCATGGAAATCATTTTTCACATATTTTGCAACCTCTGAAGGACATTGCTATATTAGACCAGTGAATACTAACAGAAACCATTTGGCACTTCAGGAGAAGCAAATGTTGGAGGTATTGTTGGCGGTATCATCGGAGCGCTTGCAGGTGTAGGTGTGATGGCAGCCGTGGTGTTCTTTGTGGTTCGGAAGAAACGAGCGGATAGGGGTGAGAAAGACGGAGGTAAGGAACAAGGGTTGCCTGATGGTTTGGTTTGAACTAAACTCTCCCTTTCGTAACATTCACTATGGCCATGTGATCTTACAAAACATGCAAGTTCAGCTATCAGTTAAAACTGTCAGAATATTAATGACCGATATTAATTCTACATTTCCAGACGTTGGGGACCTCAGTGACAGACAGTATGAAAATGTTCCAAATCCAATGATGGTGTCACAACGACCCGGAAGTGGAAGTGACGAGTACGAAGTTCCCATGGAAACCATCCAACCACTAACCGGAAGTGATGACGAGTACGAAGTTCCCATGGAAACCGTCCAGCCGCCCCAGTCCAGTGACGACTATCAGGAGCTGAGGCCCGCTGTCTACCAGAGTCTGCAACGCGGAATCGACTGATCCTAACAGTCAATCAGAATTAACCCTTCAACCAATGATAGCATGGCTATTGTAGACCAAATATCGTGGAGTCAATTCATAGTTTTGACATGTGTGAAGCCGATTTTGATACCTGCATAGATTGATTGATGGTTGATTTTGTTACTTAATCACTTTTATTGTTTGACAATGCTGAGTGATGGATTTTGAACTAACTGCTGATAGACTCTTTTTTGCTGCAAGTTACAGGTTGCTACATAAGTTTGCATCTTACATAGTGAATGTCTTTTTCTCTTTGGTGACTCATTCATTTATGTTTTATATAATATTATATGAGTAATAATTATTGTAGACATGGGCCATAGTGGGTATAATAGGTTACATATTGTATCTAAAGTTCAGATGACAGTTGTGTAGTTGGTTTGCACATTTTCAACATAATTGTGTAATAATTTCAAGTTCCTGACATTTATGGTTGGCGCTAAAACAGTCCACACGAGGCACACTCAGTCTGTGGTGTCACCACAAACTATCAGAGTGTAAATAAATATGGCTGACAGCTTTGTTTGAAGTCTACACTCGTAAGACGTCATATTTTGGCACCTCCACTTCCTGAATGACACTTATTTCTAACGGAGTACGGTTGATTCAATTTACTTTGCAAAGAAATGACCAGAAATGTACTTTTCTTATCGCCCTAAAGTTACATAATGCAGATTTAACTGGTTGTCAGGGGGCTCATTTTCGTTTACTGACCTTTGACATGCCGTTTACCTTGTGCATGATGGCGCCCGGATTTCACTCGTCCGCATCCTTCCTTGTTCTGCTGGGCTGCCTTTTTATTGTACCAGAATCAGGTAAGCCATCAAAGGCCTGTGTTCACTGACAGCATTTTACAGTCAAACCATTACAATACTTTTGACCACCACTGTAAGACCACCTGGTCATTGTGGTCACTGTTTGGTGGTTCCTTAGATCTGCCTCCCGTTGACCCAGGCATTTCAAGAATCCTACTTCCACACTATCCCCCATTCATGACAGTCAAGTGCATAGTTTTGACAACACGCATAATCCTTTAACACGCTAATCATAACATAACTTCAAAAATGCACCTGAAGTACATTTACTTTTGAAAATTCCGTCAGTGTTTCTTTATCATTAGAACATCTGACTTTTGCCGGGCATTGTTGTGCTTGTTTAAACGGCGTCCGGTTAAACATTGGCATGGCTACCGAGGCTATACAAAGTCAGTTGACATGGTTCCTGTTTTTTATGTTTGCCAACCAAACGTGTGTGCTAGTCTTGGTGTTCAATAACAATACATGTATTCAACTTCGTAGTCAACTTTCACCCCCCTGCTATGCGAAATCGCAGATATAGAAATTGCGTCTGAAAATGCGCTGTATAAAAACATATCCCCGTGGATTGATATACAAATATCCATGGCATTTAATTGTCGTTTTATCTACACACAGGTGCGCAGAGGCCGGTGGTAACGGTCACAAATTCCGGCAATGTGCAAGTTTTCCGGACGGACACAGCCAACCTCAGCTGCAGCTTTGTGTCTTCCGTACCGCTTCCTGTGTACACTGTCAGTTGGTACAAGCTGAACAACGATGGTTCCCAAGAAGCGCCATTCCTAGTATACGTCACCAACTCTCCCGTACAGGAAGACGCCAACAGACTTGCAGAGCTTGGATTAACGGGCAGGGTGAGTTTTCTGCCGGACCTGACGTCCATCACCATCCAGGAGACGGCCCAGCCAGACACCGGCACGTTCCGCTGTGAGGTGGACCCGATCTTTCCCGGAGGAGGAGTCGCCGCTTCCGTGGACACAAACCTCACAGTAGTCGGTAAATATCACATCTATTATTGTACATATATTACATATATTAGCCACATATTTTATTACTCTAAACTTCATTTGTCTGTGATTTGCAATGATAATGGCGGGGTTAATGTTATAAAGGTATTGCTGTACAAATAAGAATTCATTCACATGTTTTGTCCTACTTGTGTAACACCTAGTTAAATACCTACAGCTAATTAATGATTCTCTTGCCACTGTAATATAACATATACATTGTATCACAGTAAGAAAAGGTCATAAACGTCAACAAGAAGTGGTCGGAAATTTACAAAACCCGCAATTCACCAAATACCTATAGAAAGTTGTTTGTAACGATTCCTATGTCTAATCACCCCCGCTGTCCCTACAAACGTGTAACCGTCGAAGCCTCATTATGTACACCATGATTGTGTTGTCAACAATCGGCTTATCTGATATGCCTATGCCTGGTTTACCAAACCTATCATAGCTCCGGAGTCCTACATCCTCTCCGCAAATTTACTTGTCTTTACAGCTGTGGGTGGGCGGTTTGGGGGCGGTAATCACTGCTATTAGCAGGGCAAGTAAGACTTAGTTATAGCAAGGAGGTAAAAAATCATGATCTCCATGGTCATAGGAAGTATGTTTTTGTTATGAAGAAAATTCCAATTTTACAATCAAATGTTTTAGAAGGGAAAATGATGGAAATTTTGGGCGTATAAAAACTTGATAATGGCAGGCGTATAATCGTTAAGAGAGTAACGTTAGGGTTGGTATTCCATAGGGAAAACTGAGGGCCAGGGGAGTTCCACTGGGGGATAGTGTCCGGCATGTGTCCTTGATAGGCTGGTTTTTGAATGAATGGCCCCCACAGGTGTGCCCCTAGGAGGCCGATTTTCAAAGACGAAATACGGCCGAGACTCGTGGGATGCACGTCCGAATATCGGTCGACTCTCAGCCGCACAGGGGCGAGCTACGCGCGAGCTGGGAACGAGCTCTACGACCTCAAAAATCGCCGGCGACTAGTCGCTGATGTTAAGAACACGTTTCACGTTCGCCGACTCCAAAAAATCGCCGGCGAACCCGAAAATTCGCGCGATGCTCGACGAAACATCGGGCGTACTACGGCCGTAAATGTCGTTTAGAGCTCGCCGACTAGTCGGCCGATCGATTTACGCGCAATGTGACGGGGGCATTAGATCTGTCTCCCGTTGACCCAGGCATTTCAAGAATCCTACTTCCACACTATCCCACATTCATGACAGCATAGTTTTGACAACACGCATAATCCTTTAACCCGCTAATTATAACATAACTTCAGTAAATGAAGTACATTTACTTTTGAAAATTCTGTCAGTGTTTCTTTATCATTAGAACATCTGACTTTTGCCGGGCATTGTTGTGCTTGTTTAAACGGCGTCCGGTTAAACATTGACATGGCTACCAAGGCTATACAAAGAGAGTTGACGGGTGATTATCGTTCATATCTATTACATGTGACGTTATCTCCAAAAGCTGCAAAACAGGACAGGTCATATAATTCGCGACCAACTCGACCCTTATACATACAATAGGATGGCTTCATGTTGCCTGTATTCATAAGAAAAAATATCACTCTGTCATGGTTTGACTACTGCCTAGATCACAGCTATGTTCACCCAACTATCACATGTAAACACACACAATATACTAGTACCCGCCTCGGGGCATAGAAAGGCCTCCAGTTGACCAAGGCTAAATTGGCATACAGAAGACGATCCTTGTCGTCCTCTACGGCGGGGTTTCCTGAACATTTTTACTAAAATGCACGTAATGGGGATTAATATTTGCACTCTATTGCGATTGTAACAGCACTTTATATATTTTTTTATTCCAACATGTAATCACCAGACGTGGTGACGGTACACTCAAGTTTTATCAACTTATATTAATGCCGCCACCAACAGGGCACAGCCCACTAATTCCAGCCCCTATTGGAATATATGGAAAACATCTAAGAACTGAGCTGTCAACAATCACCTACTTGAGTGTTCAACTATTGCAAACACATATTGACAGGGTAGTCCAACTTCCAAATTGTCCATTTAGTCCAAAAATTTCACTTTTTGACCAGCGATACCTGGCACGGAAAATGCAAACACTGGCAGCATGACCTCTGACCCCCTTGAAGACCACCAAAAGACAAGAAGATGGGATTGGTTTTAGAACCTACCAAGCAGCCAAAACAACCCTAACAGCCAGTTTTTTCAAGTTAATAGAAATAGAAATAACTCTCCAGCTGGAAAATGCCAGCATTTATCCACACATACCAAGAAAAAGGCTTTTTCAGTTGTTTGGCTGCACTCACTCAAAGGGGTCTCAGACTGGGCCCTCTGGGCATGCGCCATTTGGTGGCCTTTGCCCAACACGGGACGAATACATGATAGGACAATACTCATTTTTACCTGAGCGAAGTGAGGAAAGTCGTGTAAAGTGCCTTTTCCAAGGGCACAAGATCAGTGACATGTCAGGACTCGAACCCGGACTCGGTCAGGACTCACTTTATATTGAAAAGCGCTATATGGGGTCTTTGAGAATACCAGTATTTCTAGGTGGAGGTTTTAAAGAACTGGATGGGACTATCGAGAATGTTTTTACTGAAAAGCACTATATATAATCTCGATCCAAGCAGATGATCTGGTTGGAGATTACACTATATGAAGGTTTATATTGAGAAGTGAGTTTGATGATCGTAACTTGTAAAATTGTATCCAGTCCTAGCCTCCCTCGCAGACTTCCTCCCAGGGATGATGAAAAATATTCTGGATGAGAAAATCTTATCTGATATTGTCTTCTACTGCCATTTCTTCCAGCATATTTTCTATTTTTCATATTTCCTTCCAGTTTCTGTATTTTTCTAATAACAAAGAATCTTATCAAAGAAGCCTATTCTAAAGTTTTTTTCGTTAATTTTTTTATCAATATATCGAGTCCTGATTATTGTCCATTACGACAGCTGTAGGCTACTGTAAACGGGAGGTTGTTGAGACCAAGGCTGGACAGGTGACTTTTCCACGTACAGACGGCGGAAGTTTCTCCTACTCTGCTGAACGCTGTAACTCGTCTGCAGAAAATGGTTAGTACATGTAACATCTTGACCTCTGACCTCCACTCCAAATCTGCCAAATTTTGACTTTTTTTACCATAGAACGGCTAGGAATCTGATTTTGGCATTATGACTCTGCTTTGACTCATTGGACTTTGTGCTGTTATGTATACTGTTTGTTATTTTCATTTGTTTGACCATGTCTTGTACTGTGCTGGCCCCGTCGTCGAAAAACAGTTATCGTAAGCTGAATGTTTTGATATTAAATAGTTAAAAAAATTACGCTATTTGAGAGCTATTTATGAAACCTTTAATAAATGTGTACGTGTATTACTGGTAAACAGGGTTGATTTGGACCAAAAGCGAGTATCATTCGGAAATTGGCACTTATGAAATAGAGCAGAATCCTGTTAATGCCTTTTTTGCGTTTTAAAGTCAGAGAAATAGTTTGCATTTTACGAAGGGTACACCATCTCATTGACTTTTATGCGCAAAGGGAAGACACATGAAAGCGTTTTTGTTTTTTGTTTGTTTGCATAACCCGCCTGTAAGCGGCAAAACAGCAGCTCTGTAGGTTGATTAAGTAGAAACTTTGAAAGAGTGACAGGTTTGATTCACTAATGTCAGTCAGGATCCAATAGCTCTCCTCAAACATGCCTAAACACCAACCTCCTGCCTAACGTTCTATCGACATGGGGGACTCTTTTTAATTGACGTTAGTTATGGGTTCACCACACCACGAAGTGGTGGTGAACCCATATTGCTTTTTCTGATGTTTCTTCTCCTCCTTCTTCTTCTTCTTCTTCTTCTCCTGCCATTTTTTAAATGGATTCAGCTTCTTCATTTTAGGGCCTAAGGTCCTGAAATTTGGTATGGAGGTACAGTGGGCAAATACCCCTAGGCGTTTTTTAAATTTTTGTGATACAGGCTTTTAGAATGGTTTTATTTGAGTTTTTTGGCTGTGTTATAGCAAATGTATTACTGTGTTAGTGTGCCGTGTTTACCACGTCTGGGCATAAGTCATCACAATGGAATGCAGGGCATCAACCAATAGGCATGCAGCTTTCCTCTATACTTCTTGCTGATTGGCTGTTGGGATTTAACTTGATTAACACCTGCACAGAGCATTTCCATACTGACAGTATGTCTGTATTCAAGTGTTTTGGTAGGTATTTCAAGCTTTTCTGCTCCAGCATTGGAATGCGGGGCATGAACGTTTTTTTTTATTTTGAAAATCAACAGTTTGCATTATGCAATTAAAAATCCTAACCAATAAAGTAGGGAATAGCTATCCAACTGTTGTTTTAGTTGTATGTTACTTCATATTATAGTTATATCAATGTAAATAATTGTTTTCCCTTGTGTTTCTCATTCTTTCCCTGCCATGTCGTAAAATGTGGTGAACCCATCGCTGTATTTGCTCCAAAGCAAATATTGGCCTTTCTAGTTATCTATATTGACCTGATCTGAGTGCGAAAATAAGTGTTAAAACTGACGTTTTCAGGGGGGACCTGGTTGAGATTCGAACCCAGCAGTACTTTAGCCTTCGAGAAATCAAAAGACTACCATGTATTTGTGACATATATGCGTCTTCCTATTGCACCCCACAGACAAGCCCCTGGCCACTCGTTTCTGTCGGATCACAACAGATAGAACTGCAGTGTGGGACCAGCCTGTCCTCCTCACGTGTGGTATTGACTTACAAAACCTGTCTCAGGTACGTGTTTATACCATACACTGTATTTATATTACTACCTGAAAAGTAAATTTACCAATGGCAATACATGCAAGCACAGTTGTAAATAGTACCTGATTTTACAATGGTAGTAAAATAAAATTCAAGTCCGGTAATTTCGTCCAAACAATTGTAGTAGATATTGTAACCGCACTTGATCTTTATCTACTATCATTGGACAATCCAGTACTTTTTCCAGAGTAAACACTACTAGATCTTAAGTTCTGTGCAGTAGAAACATACTACATGTACTTGTTATTGCATCGGGTTGCATGATATAGGAGCTCTACCGCTCTAAGATATACGCTTTCGTGTGAAAACACAGAGGAAACCACAACAGTACTAGGAGTTACCAGCTATCCAACACGTACACTACTATTAAAATGACAATTTGTAAATGTATTGGTTGATTATGATGATATTTGAGATGGTTAAAGTTGCCCCTTCCAGCGCTTTCCGTTAGTACTGCATCGGGGGTTCATTTTTTTTTTTACATTTTTCAGATTGTAGTGAACAACGAGACAGCTCTATCTGTGGCAACGGAACTTCAGGTGATCACAACACAGGCTGAAACTCTCTCGTCTAGTGAAGTGAACTCCATTATAGACACTTTACAGGAAATAGTCAACGCCAGCGCGACTGAGCAGGTTAGATTTTACTTTACAATTTCCTCGTCTTTTGCTTCTTGCCATCCTCTCTGACATTGTTTCCAATCTTTTCACAACTATTAGTTTATAATTATCATCCTCAACATCTACTGCTTGCCGGGTTTTGCATCTGTAGCTTAGGAAACCTCATCAGTTCAGTTGCACTTCACAAAATTCATTTTTCGCATACCTTACAACATAAATAATGTTTTGTTTCTTCGCTCACGTGTACCTTTCTTTCTTTCTTTTTCTTTCTTTCTTTTTTAATTGGCAATGACAACGGATCAATACACAGGTTATCAAGGCAGTCGTGACTGGTATAAGACCAATAAATGCAAACGTGCAAGCAAACATGAAATAAAGAAATCTACTATAACACAAAACCTGAAATAAAGATAACATATTGTAACTGCTTACAAATTACAGTACTACAATATAAAAATATCAAGGCACTCCTACCTAGTCAAGTCAACTATCAGCAATATGTGCAAAGAGTACCCTAACACATGCTTTAGGGTGCCTTTAGTTCTACAAGATCTCTGTACAGTTTTTTTTTTTTCATTATTATTACCTTCGCCAAGAAGGTTATGTTTTCGTAGGCGTTCGTGTGTGTGCCTGCCTGTCTGTAAACACGATAACACATACACACATGGGTCTTGATGGGAACTCGAATGATTTGATTTAAGGCCCCCTAGCGGCTTCTAATGGTACTGCAGCTGAACTTATGGTTTTGACATCTCATGATCTGGACGTGCTAGGGTCACGAAATCTAGATGGTAGGTAGGTCTTGTGCTGGGGAATAGGAAAGTTATAATTCCATAATGGTAACTGCCCGGTATTTTATACTTGGGGTATTTGAAAGTTAAGTGAAGGTGAACATCATTAAACATATCTTATTTAGATAAGGACCTCATTTGCATAATTTATGAGGAAATTTTTTGTTAAGATAAGGCTGTCTTTTGATGGAGAATATTATCAACTGATATAATTCATGCAAATGAGGATCCTATTTGCATAATCAGGAGGAATCATCTTTCTCAGTCATAAAGATTAATATCATTTGGTGAAGGTATGAGATCGTGGGACTCTAGTTTAGTTGGGGAACGTTATCTAGGGTACTGGATTTTATTCTGCTTTCCCGATTCCTTGCCGAAATCTATTTGTATGTGCTCCTGAACATAAAAAATAATGGCACGAAGCTGGAAAAAACTTGCTGGTGTCTGTAACGGAGGCTATTTCATACCATAGATCGGAGACTCCATTTTGACAACTGTAGACAACCTGATTAAAGTGAACGCCACAGTTCTTCAGCAGAGTCAAGAAGAAACAAGAGGGCCGACCAGGTAACGTCTGACACATTCAAATTATCAGATCTGTACTGTACCTACATGTATGTATGTTGTATTGTCGCTATAAGCATCTATCATATCGCACTAGCTTATGCATTATCTGTCTGTAACCGCGAGTAGAATCTTACATGATTAGCCTTTGTTTCTGTGCTGTACAGCAGTCATATTACATTTCATTTCAAAACAGTACCTACACTTTACGCCATGCTTTATTGTATGCTCAAATCTTAAATACAAATATTCATGAAATGTAACTGAAATACCAGACGGCACGTAATTTGACAGATGGTAAAGAAGTGGAAAACACGACCATTTGAGGATCTTCTTCTTCTTCTTGAGTACTCTCTAACCACCCCTACTGGGGTATCACTGAGAGGGGGATCTTATGTTGCAATCTTATGTTCGACAACATTTTACCTCGCTATTTTTAGAGCCGTCCAGGCATTGGAGACATTTGCTGACACGGTTATACTGACAACAGATACGTACACTGCCGTGCGACCAGGAGTGGCACTGCAGGCAGCTGACATCAGTCCAGAAGAGTTGGACAAGGGGCAAGGTAAGCAAAACTGGACAGTATATCCAATCATTACGTTAATGAAGGTAACTCATCCAGGGTGGTAATAGTAATAATAATAAAGTAGTTTTGTGTTCTCAAACTGGATGAATTTTTAAAAAATCCACCCAGTATGAGAAGACTAAACTACTTTATTATTATTGTTATATCAAATCATAGTTAGTCCATGTTAATTTGATCTGGGAACCCCAAAACTAAGGCGAGCGTGCGAAAAAAAAATTGTCAAAAAATTGAATCATGTTATGAAATCTATGTTGTCATGAAGGTTGAACAAAGGACTAAACACACAGAGTATGGTATGGTGAATAATGAATGAATGAACTTTATTGCACAACAATCGTACAAGGTACAATGTATGGCAGTACTACAACACTAAACTAGTCTAGAGAAATACAACAAAAACATGTCCAATAACAGGTAGGTAACATAGTGTGTTGATATATAATTATGTATTAATTATTTGATCTCGCATATGTAATGAGCTATGGAGAAATTGACCTATGTAAACAGAAATAGAGGTTGGGCATGATAACAATACATGGAACATATCGAGCTGTGTATCAGGTAGTATGAGGTCCGTCTTAGTAGTTATATTCTGTAATAGCACATCTCTTTCTTTACTATAGGTAGGACAAGTCATAACAAAATGAAATTCATTTTCAACATTTAGATTACATGTGGGACACAGTCTCTGAGTGGCTGGTGTGTTTTGGTGTCTTCCCTTTTCAATTTGAAGACAATGTGCACTTATTCTCAGTTTTGTTATGCTAATTGTAAACGATTTGTTTTGTATTGATGTAAGATAATCTTCCATGCCGAAGTGTTTCTTTATTTTAGAATATGTTTGGAGTTTGCTAGTATTTCTCAGTTGTTCTCTCCAGCCAGAAAGAAACGTGTCCTTGAGACGCTGTTTAAATATGTTTCCAAAATGGTTGGCATTAACTGCGGGGTTAAGCCAAACATTTTGGAACCCATGTCTACATAATATATCCTGAACGTGAGTAGCCCAGTCATGTTCTTCTTCGACTGAAGTGTCGTATGCTTTTTTGACAAGTCTATCGTTTGGTAAATTATTTATTCTAATCCAGTATTTAATCATTTGTGTTTGGCTGTCCACGAATAAAGGAAAAACTCCTAATTCGCCCCTCACAGCGGCATTTACAGACCCTTTCGGGACATTTAGCAAAATTTTATAATATATAATAGACTCTTAATTTTAATTCCTGCGTCACATTTTCTTTTCCTGAACTGATTTCGGCATTCTTAGACATTAGTATCGTTCCAAAATATTTCAATAGGCATATATTTTGTACTTTTTTGAACGATTTACAGTATGGTGGAAAACTTTTAAAAAACCCTATCCAGACTGGGCTTTTTTTTGGCTTGGTGGGACGGGGGCTCCCTCAGAATTCGCGAACGGTATGTTGTATGACAACCAAATTTTAAGAGGATTGTGTACTAGTACAAATTAATCATAAATACAATTTATATGTTGTTATGACGTGTAACAAGACTACAACTAAACACCCTGTGTACATATTTCAGAGGATTCTTTCCACTAAGGAACCCAGTTCTTTGCACCACAACCTTTCCTATGTCTCCAACCACCATAGTCACAGAACTCTTTATGCTACTAGATTAACTTAAGCTCTGGAAAAAACAAAAACGAATGCAAAAAGCTTCAGATAGAGAAGCATTTCCACATGGAATAACTTACCATCAGACCTTAAGCATTTAAGAACAAAGGACAGTTTCAAATCAGGACTGGTCAAGTACGTCCATTCTAAAACAATAGCAAAGTAGAAGAAATCAATATAGCTCAAGTTAAAGCATATTAATGTAATATAATTTGCAATTCTTTTATTAAAACTGTAAAGTTGAATGTCATTTTAATGACTATAAAGCATGTAGGATTAAAATTGTGTAAGTCTAGTGGCATAGATGCCCAATGTCATTTTTATATGATGTGAAGTCTGTGTATTGTTTCGTCTAATATGTTGTTGGAATCCAGGAAGATTAGTCGCACAAAAATCTGTATCCTAATAAAGTATTAAAGTATCAAAATTAGGCAAAAAGAAATGGAAGTATTGATGAAATTTTAAGACAAAAAATAACCAGTATATACCTGTTCTAATGATATGGTCCGCCATCTTGGATTTTGGCTTATGACGCCATCCAATGAGCGTAAATTATGCATTTTAATGATTAAATTTACATAAAATTATATAGGATGTTATTAATATTAGAAACCATGTGTAACTTAACATAAAACCTATAAATTTCTATTGTTGAAACGAAAATTACTAAATTTAGCAAAAAATGCTAAATTCACACAAAAATTCATTATCTTTTTTGCCAACAATATTCTAGGAAAAGTCAAAGTTTGGCAGTTCTAGCGCTAGCCGTACAGACGCTCTGTGACATCAAAGTCGGCGCGGGCACTTTTAGCCCCCCCCCCGGTCTAGGTAGGGTTAAAGGTAGAAAATTCTGAACACGCGAACGTAGTGCGTGATTAAAAATCATATGCTCAAAAATTGATGCTTGTGTTGTTCTTGTACTTTCATTTGACCTTGACTAGTTATCATTATTTAATACAAAGAAAATTGTTAATCAAGCAAATGGATGTTTATCTATTTCGGTGCTATAGTAACAGTTTCCTTATGTATCACCCTACCTTCATCGAAGTATTTTGTTTGGCAAGTCTTTAAGCTAACGAGAAAATCTGTTATCTTTTGAAGGATTCGCCTTCTTTCCGAGTGGAAACGACTCTACCAGGCTGACGAAAGGCAACGTTACAAGCTTCACTACGGAGGATGGAGAAGGCATTCAGCAAACTGCTGACGTCTCAATCTTGTTACCTCTAAACATCTCAAATGTGATACAGTTCAACAATACAGCAGGTACTTTTAGCTCTTTTACAATATTGGACAATTGCTCTCATTTCTGATGTATTTAAGTCATTCTACCATTGCCAAAAGTACATCGAGAAAAGTACTAGCTAAACTGCACAATATACATTCTTTACGCACACCTTAAAGCATGCGTAAAGGCCCAAATTCATCACTCTCGCGTGCCTTAATGCATGCTCTAAGGTGTACTTAAAGAATGTATATTGTGCAGTTTAGCTAGGATAGAATTAGTGTACTTGTGTCATCCTAGTAGACAACACAACTCAACGGTTGACCTCTGAGATATTTGGCATATGAAAAAAAGGAAGGACAAGAATGGCTATGGTCCCATGGCTGTTTTTATTTGTAATATAATACAGAAGTTACAAGGATTTAGTATCTGCTGTTCTGGACATGTTATAGACATGTTTGGTGAGACAAAATCCAAGGAGAATCAAAAGAGAGTTTCTCTTGCTTCCCTCTCAGAAGTCCGTCTGAGTTACACGCTCTACAACAGCAGCAGCCTGTTTGTGGAGACTTCCCAGCGTATCGCGCGACCTTCCCAGGGTTCCGTAGGAACCCGCATCATCGGCGGCAGAATCGCAGGGAGGCAGGTCAAGAACCTGCCTGAACCGGTTATCATCACCTTTACACCCCTACAGGTAGCTTTTGTTAGGACACATCGGTTTGATTGTATGAATAACATCCTCTGGAAAAGGTTGGCAAAAAAGTTGCCTTCATTATAAATTCTACGTGGTCATGAAGGTTAAGCAAATGACTAAACACATTATTCGTGTGGTGAAACATATTGTGTTGCCTCATGTTTCTACTTCTTCTCCTGCTCCTTTCATTTCGTTAAATGGCTTCAATTTCCTCTTTTTTTGAGCCAGATGACATGAAATCTGGCATAGATGTATCTGTATCTGCATCATTATAGCCGGTATAACCGCCCCTCGGCGTGACACACCAGCTTCGCAGGCACGCGGCGTGACGGCAGCTAAGAGTGGCTAAATTGACAGAGTGACCAAATACCCCAGATGTGTTTTTTAGTTAAATTTTTTGGATTCGGGCTTTACTTCGTTTTTTAACCATTTTCTGACCAAATATGTACATTTGGAGTCCTGGAGACCTAGTATTACACACAAATCGTCTGAAATTTAATACGGGTATGTTTTTAGGTTACAACTTTACATTATAATTGAGGGATGCGTCATCAGAATATCTGGCACAGCAAGAGTCAACAGGCATGCAGCTTTTCTCTATTCTTCTTGCTGATTGGCTGTTGGGATTTAATTGGGTTAGCTGCATTAACAGCTCCACCAACCCATACCATATTGACAGTATATACTGTCATAAGTGTTTTTGGCAGGTGGATCAAACTTTCCCGCTCAAGCATTGAAATGCCGGGCATAAACGCTGTTTTACTTCCATGACAAAAGTAGGTTTTTTGGCGTGTCTGTGTGTGTGTGTCTGTGTCGGTGTTTCTTTCATGAGTGTTTCTGTTTCCACACATTTGTAGTCAGCATGACTTCTGAACGCCTTTACCGATTGTGATGATATTTTGTATGTTGCTAGGTCGTAGAAAGACAAAGGTCAAGGTTAAATAAGGGCCTCCTGGTGCCTGACCTTGGCACTGCAACAAATTCCGTTTTTTTATCTTTTGACCTGAACTTGCTACGGTCTTGGATTTTTGGTGACGGATGGCATTTTCTGTCAGGAATAAGACGTGTACGTTTTGCCCTCCTTGCCGCTTGTCCTGGAACTACAGGCGAGTTTCTGGCGATATCTTTTAAAGCAGATAAGTCCAGAAAGGAAACAACATATTTTTATAATTTTTGGTATGTAGGTAGCTTAATGAGATATAGATGTACATAATCAAATGCAAATAATGCAAATTAAGACCTAATTAACATAATTAAAGAGAAAAATCTGTAATTACAGTGTTTTACATGATAGTACTTTCATACATGTAATGCATATAATTTGCAAGTGGAACATGAAAAGATACCAATTATGCAAATAATCACCTTTTTTGCATAATTAATTTGAAAAGTCCGAGGTTTCTTAATGATTAATGATTGAAATTTTATACCCTGTGACATATATAAGTTAGGTTAACATCACTATGCATGTATTATGTTACTGTAGAAGTCTTTTTTATAATTAATTGTTGACTTAAAATATTGCCAAAAGATAAGAATTTCACAAGTATAATATTGTAATTTGAATCTACAAAACCATAAATTTAACAAGATATATGGATATCATGACCTTATTTCCATAATCAATGAGACGAATCCCCCCAAAATTTTACATAAACTCTACATATTTCATGGTGGTTTAAAGTCTCCGAACTTTTGTTTATTTTGAAATTCAACAGTTTAAATTATGCAAATAAAAATCCTAACAATAATTTAGAGGATAGCTATCCATTTTTTTATTCTTAGTTATATGTTACTTCATAGTATAGTTTTATCAGTGTTAATTATTGTTTCTCCCTGTGTTTCTCCTTCTTACCCTGCCATGTTGTAAACTGTGGTGAAGCTATGCTGCATTTGCTTGCTCCAAAGCAAATGTCGGCCTTTTTAGTTTCTTCACATTTCTTCTTTTCTTTAATCAATTTTGGCATCCTACAACACCTGTATCGTTTTCCAATATTTTTGTTGCAATTTACGGTATATTATCTACTCATTGCCCATGGTAAGATGAGAAGACCTCAAGAAGTACAAAAATAAGTAGTATTTGCTCATTTTGCAGATGCTTTGTACGATTTACAGTATGATCGAAACCATTTGTTTTAAAATCAACATGGCCTTATTACGGTATTCTAACCCAAATAATAAGGATATTCATGTCAAAACGATAAACGGAGTTATGATCAACAGAAATTAAGTTTCCAATTCATTTTTTGGAGTTAGGGTTCTCTTCTACTCTCTTCATTTTTTAGATTCAGGATTAAACTGATTTGTCTGATCTTTCTCTAGAGTTTTCTTTCTGAAGACGTCAAGGGGGTCACATGTGTGTTTTGGGACTTTGAGGCCGAGGCAGGACAGGGGGCCTGGTCAACGGAGGGGTGTGAGAACATGCCGGGCGAGACAAAGGAACGGTACACGTGTGCCTGTAACCACCTTACCAACTTCGCCCTGCTATTTGTAAGTAATCGTACGGCTGCTGTTAATGTCATTGCATGCTGCTGTTTAGTAATAATGGTGACCTGCATAGTAGATTGCTCAGAAAATCACAAGAAACCTCACAGTAGGTGTGCGACTTTTATTAACAGTACATTTGGACTTCTGAATACTGAGTGTATACCCAGTACAGATACGTATACCCTTTGCCAACGTATAATGATATACCCTTTGCTTGATAATCCGTGACCTCTATTATACATGTTTGTCACGTATCACGTTTTAATTTGACACGTTTTAAGGACCATAAATTTGGACGTTGTGTTCCAGTGAATTATCGTATCACGCCTTGCACCTGTTGAAGCAGTTAATATAACCTGGAATGATATTAGGGTAGATTTCTTGCACAAAGCTGTTGAGAATTTATCTGTTGGCTCACTGTGACGTTTAGGGTTGTAATATTTTCAGGATTTGTATGGCGTGGGTTTTGGAGGCCACAGAAAGCCGCTAGAGGCAATCACTATTGTGGGCTGTGTCGTCTCCATCGTTTGTCTGGTCCTCACTATCACTATACTCGCTTTCATCGTCACTAGGTAGGTTAACGTTGCGTCTGACGAACTTAATCTAGAACGTAAAAACTTTTCTCTCTGACCTTTAATTGATCACTCATTTCACCGCACATTTTCAAATCAAGCAAATAAAATATGGTCATGTGTTTGGTATTACATCAGAGAGAAACGTGGTACCAATAGACTATAGAGGTCATGTCATTCTAAATTCCAGGAAAGACAAACATAATGCCAATAAATACTATATATATATATAATCGTATTCCAGGAAAGACAGACAAGTTATCAGTAGAGGTAATGTGTTTCCAAATTCCAGGACAAAATTTAACGCCGGGTCATTAGAGGCCACGTGGTTCGTATTCCAGGAAGGACACAAAAGGTATCAGTACAGGCCACATGTTTCCGACTTCCTGAAAAACAAACGCCATGTTCGTAAAAATTGCATGGTTCTAATTCTAGGAAATAGTGTTATTAAACCTCATGTATTTCTAACTCCAGAGGAGACAAACGCCGTACCAGAACAGGCCATGCTAAGAACCAGCTACTCGTCCTTATCAACCTCTGCGTGGCTCTGCTGGCCACGCTCATCATCTTCCTCGCTGGCATAAACCGGACGGCTTCTCCCATTGGCTGTATGGTTGTGGCAGCATTGTTACACTACTTCCTATTGGCTTCTTTGATGTGGATGGCAGTGGAAGCCGTGAACATATACCGAGCCGTTGTGCATGTTTTTGACCATGTTTCTGGGAACTTCATCATCAAGGCTGGGGCTGTAGCGTGGGGTAAGTTTTTGCTTCGTCTGTGGAGGTTAGACACCCAGTTCATAAAAACGATAATACAGTCATCCTTGTGAAGTACTGATTTTGAGATTTCTCCAGTATCACTGACGAAAGGTAATGAATGCTACCTAAAATATTTTACCATTTCCTATATCATGTCCAGTTGCGAGTAACTGTTTTTGGCGTAATTATGGGTTCACCACACCACGAAGTGGTGGTGAACCCATATTGCTTTTTCTGATGTTTCTTCTCCTCCTCCTCCTCCTGCCATTTTTTAAATGGATTCAGCTTCTTCATTTTAGGGCCTAAGGTCCTGAAATTTGGTATGGAGGTACAGTGGGCAAATACCCTTAGGCGTTTTTTAAATTTTTGTGATACAGGCTTTTAGAATGGTTTTATTTGAGTTTTTGGCTGTGTTATAGCAAATGTATTACTGTGTTAGTGTGCCGTGTTTACCACGTCTGGGCATGAGTCATCACAATCGAATGCAGGGCATCAACCAATAGGCATGCAGCTTTCCTCTATACTTCTTGCTGATTGGCTGTTGGGATTCAACTTGATTAACACCTGCACAGAGCATTTCCACCTGCACAGAGCATTTCTTGCTGATTGGCTGTTGGGATTTAACTTGATTAACACCTGCACAGAGCATTTCCATACTGACAGTATGTCTTTATTCAAGTGTTTTGGTAGGTATTTCAAGCTTTTCTGCTCCAGCATTGGAATGCGGGGCATGTAAGGTTTTTTATTTATTTTGAAAATCAACAGTTTGCATTATGCAATTAAAAATCCTAACCAATAAAGTAGGGAATAGCTATCCAACTGTTGTTTTAGTTGTATGTTACTTCATATTATAGTTATATCAATGTAAATCATTGTTTTCCCTTGTGTTTCTCATTCTTTCCCTGCCATGTCGTAAAATGTGGTGAACCCATCGCTGTATTTGCTCCAAAGCAAATATTGGCCTTTCTAGTTTTAAATGTTTCTACTATGTTGTAATTATGTAATTTTAATTAATTGTTTGAGCCTTGGAAGATTAGCCCTTCGGGGCTAAAAGGTTTCGAAATAAATGAAATAAATGAATGGTTTAGGTGCAACAAGGTGTTCGGTGTGATATACCTGCGAAGCTGGTGTGTTACGGTGAACTGCAGTTAAATACGTTAACCGATTCAGATTGCATTGGAACCGAAATACTCTGAAGGTAAGATACACCTCACCCCTGGGACTTCAGACAAAATATATGGTCGGGGTTCCCCAAGGAAACATCATGGGACAACTACTCTTCCCTTATAATTTGGATGCCATACCAGACCTGGATAAGTCGAATGTGACGCTGTCTGTCCTAGGTACTGATGGGCCTACACAATCCCGGGGACGGACACATCGACCCCCTACTCGCTCACCCAGGCTTATGCCATCGGTGCCCGGATGTACGGGGCAGACATCTACCAACAGACTGGGGTGACTGGGATGAGCATGCGCAGTGATGGCAGCTGGAATGTGGACACACCTCATGGCACCATCCACGCACAGAGGGTGGTCAATGCTGCTGGTACGAGTACAAGACTGATATATTTTCTTTTTCTGTCCCCAAAACAAGAGCTACTGCTGATATATATACAACCATAGTACGTCAATTTAGAATCATTTAAAGCATCTTGCTTTGAACGCCACAGACATATCGAATTCTGCTAAGTCAAGACAAGAT